TGCAGAGAGGCATCATCGAATTGCATTGCCAACGAAACAAATACGGTCGAGCCGATGCTTCATGAATGGATTTTCAGTCGGCATTTGTCACAGATGACTAGCATAGTGATGGTAATACATGGTTGGTATTCGATCGCGGGGTTAGTTTAGCCGTACGTATAGTTACAAGCTGCAGCCGATGAGACAGCGCCTAAGCTTTTGTACTACGTTCGAGATGACTTGTCATGTTGCTCCCAGATGCAGACAATCCTGGAGCTGCAGGCGTGGGTGGTCATTTATTTGATCGAGAAACTGGCATATGCATGTAACCAGAAAAATTGGACAAAACGTCTTAATCATCGAGCAACGAGCCTTTGCCTGGATTCCATCGTTTTATGACCATGCTAAATCTGCTAGCTGTCTGTTACGCAGGTACTAAATGTTGTGCGCGCAATGGCTTGCTCTCTCAACCGCGTGTGCTGTGTCACCCAACGAGGGATCATGCATGCACAAAAGCTGCTAACTGAACTGCATCCATCCAGCGCACCGACTCGATCCCTACAGGTGCTGCTTAGCATTCATGTGACCATTAAGCCTGCTCATAGAATTCTCATTTAAATAAAACACTTCTAATGGGACAGACTACCCAGAAAGGCTCTCATTGTTTTCTTGTCTTGGTAATCTCGCAGTTTCGTTTCGCACTGGAACCTCGGATTGGCCGTCTAGCCTCTAGCTCTAGTTAGGGCAAGCGAAACACGTCCTAAACGGCAGCTGCGACGCACCGATTCAGGTTGAGCCGCTGCAATGCACGACATCAGACGCCAAATGGCATGCTGCAACGGCGCTCGCAAAAGGCCACTGAAAAGCCACGTGCAGGAGCCCATCCTTGCAAGGGCCTCTCACGGCTACAGCCGAACTTGGTCGTGCGCTGCAGGCAGGCAGGAAGGGCAGGGCAGGGCAGGGCACTATACTTGCCCCGTCCGCACGCACGCACAACAACAAAGCTCATGATTCTGCATGGCCGATGCAGCAGATTGAGCGTCATGCCTTTCGTCTGACCTAGAAATTGTTCAAACGGATAGTTTGATTAGCAGCGGCTAGTCTGGCCAAGCGTCCACGACAATATTCGGTCCCTCCTCCCCTCTCCTCCAGGCGAGATGGAATCCTTCTAGAAAACCCACACGTCCCACAGCCATTTGTCAACCCGGCTTCATTGACCGGCCGCGCAACAGGGCTGTTATTGCAGCCCTGGAAATGGGCTATATTATTCGTAAGGCCTTGCTCATATTGTCAAGACCGAGAAGTGAGCAACACCAGCGACATTGTCAAAGCTTACACACTAACTAAATAGCGTCAGAATGCTGCCCTGACAAGCCTCGACTAGCGTACGGAATACTAGTAGGGGTGTACCGAGTAGTAAGATGACTGATAACTTGGCAGTACGCATTACAGTCAATACGGAATCGTGGGCACCGAGTCCACGATGCAGCGTTCAGTAAAGGGGCATTGGACTCTGCGGCCGAGCACATGCTTTGGGATGAACCAAACTCGTTGCTTCTGGATCCGAAGCTTGGCATTGAACGATCAATTGAGAAATGCACAATCACATCGTTCGACTGAATAGTTACGGATACAACAACAGCCAACAGCAAGCTTTCAGAGGGCGGCAAGGCGGGTACAAAGCCCAGTCAGTGGATACGACTGCAATGTCCAGTCCGGTTTCCGTTCCTGAGTTAAGCCCTTTTGGGCAGGACTCCCCCAGCTCCAAATTGCACTTGAAACACTCGTCTCTGCCAGTAAGACCCTTCTCGGTTGTCTGATACCGACGCAGTGGTCAAGCGAGGTTGCGAGTCAAACAAATGCGCGACAGCTTCTTGTACGGGTACGCGAGCACCAAGTTGCCATATGTTGAGGCCTATTGTCATCAGCAAATCAACAGACTGATTTTCATACGAGATCCATTCCGACTCGTGTTTGTTCAATCAGTGATCACCCCGTCAATCTGTCTAAACGGTGACGCTCAGACTTGGCGGCCCTTCCCGGGGGCCACGGTCCGCGCCACATCATACATGTGAACGGCCTCGGTAAAAGATTCCAACGGCGGCCCAAGACCAAAAAGCAGAGTCAGCTTTTTTCGTCTCGGTTTGCTTGGCCCGTGGCGTTGTAATTGCAACGGTCGCACAATCAACACAGACGGCCATGGCAGCGCACAATGATCTGGATCAACCCAAGTTCCTTATTGCACCCGACAATGGTTTTCTCGACGATCATCTCATGCATGACGCACACTCGATTGCGCGGAGCAATACGCTATAAATGTAAAATGCGTCTATTTTGACTCACGACGGTCATTGTGCGCGGCCAAGATGCATGTCGTATTAATCGCGAGGGAGTAGGTATGTGCTGACTCGGTACTCCGTACTCAAGTCAGAAAAATTCATCGCTAACCCTTTGAGATTTGCGCACACATTGCGACGGCTATACCGGCTTGTCCCAGCTTCATACTTGAACAAACAGTCTGTGCCATGACCGGGGGGCGGTACAAGTTGCGATCTGGGCCACTATGGCGGATTATTCACACTGGACCCAGTAGATATTCATACCGAAAACTGTAAGGATCCCGCTCGATCGTGCATACTAGTTACAACGACGAGCAGTCCGGCCAAGTTTGTTGAAAACTTGTTGTTCGGGAAGCGCACAAGCAAGTCAGTTTGCCTTGTTTTCCCTGGCCAGCACCGCAGCAAAACCCAAAGATGGCATTGGGCATTGAGACTTGGGCTCGTTTGAACACTTTGTTTCGTCCCACTTGTTGCCTCGATTGAATGCTGTCTTTGCCGGCAGTCTTTGCTTTTTTTCTTCTTTTTTTTTCCCTTGTTTCCTGTTGAACAAGGAAGCCCGGCTGGCATCACCGTGATCAATCTACTGGAAGCCGCCCATTGTTCAGGCACCCAAGCGGAATCACTTCTGGGCAAGACGGCAGGCCCTCGGACCAGTCTGCCAAAATGTCTTATTAAACTTGGACCATCCAAAAAGAAAAAAAAAAAAAAACAATGCGACTACACGAAGCTTTTCCAAGCCCGCGGAAGCCAGCCGCCTCTCCACTCGGTCCGTACCCCAGGTCGCAGCAATTTTAGCAAGAGAAAAATTTTCTTTCCAGGACCAACCTATTACGGCTGCAGGGGGCGTGTCTTTTTTCGTTTTCCTTTTTTTTTTCTTTTTTCCTTTCTTTTTTTTTTACCCTCCTCCACCTACATCCCTGGCGCTGCTGCGAACACCCTTTTGTGGAACTGCTGCAAGGTACCAGAATCAAAAAGCCGGGGTGCATAAGGGTTGGTCTTTTCCTTCTGGAAAAAGGGGAGCCTTCCATGCTAAGTACCTTGGCTTGCTGCTAGGGCTTGGCCTTGTCCCACTGGCGCGGGTTTGTTGGCTGTCGGCCGTTCTGCAACAAGAGGAAATTTCAAAGTTGCAGGACCATGACGACAGTTGGGTTGGGAATATAATTTGGGTGAAACCAAGGCATTGAAGTGTCGAATGCCGCAGGCTTAGCAAAAGCTTAAGCAGCATGACAAGCCGGTGACAGAAATACGAAAGGTTGTTTTGAATGCTAAGGAGCCAACAATGGCGTGGTGACTGTTGAGCCATTCTGCGGGCTCGATCCGTCAGCAACAATGCTTTCATCTCAGGCTGCTATAGGTTGTCGGGGTCTGCTATCAACGCTGCCCTTGTTATGCTGACTGCGCCTCCATGTAAGAACTTTAATATCTTCAGGCGATTCCGAAATGCCTTTACTGGCTGTCACGCCTGCAGTGGGGATCCTATATCCGGGAACTTTGGCGGCCTCTCCGGGCCGTTGCTCGTGCGGGTACTGCCAATGATTATAGTTGACACTTATTCAACGGGAAATGGAGTTTATGGAGCAGGCTTGAAAAAAAGAGGGAAAAGAAATAGCGTATACTGTATAGTCCTTGACAAGGCTTGGTGCTGTGACAGTGGGCCGCCCTTGGTTGCTGCGCTCGGACGAGTCAACCAGTTGGCTGCTCCAATTCGAGCAGGGTATGCGGCCAACACCAAAGCTTCTTGCTCTGACTAGTTGCTGGTTGTCATTGGTCTCGGATCGTTGATCTATTGGTCGACCGGGTGTATATGTTTCTCAGACGATCAGAGCGATCATGTCATGGTAATCAGCCAATTTAACGATTCAAGGGTCATGCAATGATTGAGATGTATCCTGTTCTACGCTATGCACATGCTGATGCTCGCATATATGCAGCCCAAATTACCGTTTTACGTTTAAATGAGTAAATGATGCGCTTCTTTATCGACCGTTGGCTTTTTTTGGCTCTCGGGTAGGAGTTGGGAGAAAAGTCCGCATGCACGTATTTGCTGTCAGTACTTGGGTCAGCAGGGAAAAATTACTCTGTAACTCCTAATTTCCAGTAGTTGAGTAATTGCGGCTTGTGCTGTGTCTTTTTGACGGTTTACTCAGGCCGCGTAGGCACTTCGTGTCCATAATCGGATCATTCCGCGTTTTTCACACCACTCATTCATCAGGGTTGTATGTCAATACAAGACTGTTCCTGTGAGTAGATATCCGGAGCGCCAGCTTTGATGCAACAATAATCATCCCTCAGAATTAAATAACCATATTTACAATGAAAAACTCAACACTGCAGACATGGAATACAGCGCGTCTAAGTCCTCAGTGCTCTTCGAAGCTCGCTTCGCCCCACCGCGACCTGCGCCAGCCACTCAGCCTTTGCCGCCCGACAGCGAACCCCGCCAAACTGGTGACGCAGCCAAGATCAAGCTTCACCACAACTCTCGCCATTATCCATCCATCGCCATTGACACCACGCATCCAGCACTGATCCGAACCGGCCGGCACCTCAACTAAGCACAACACTCCTCGAAAGAGTCCTCACTCACACGGCAGCCCTTCTCTCTCGCCCCTCCCCGCCCCCTCCACCCTTCTCGACCCTCTCTTCTGCTTCAACCTCCGCTTCCGGGCCCTTCCACAAGCCATGTCCATCATCCAGCAGCACACGAGCGCCTCGCTCAGCGATGCCTGGCGCACAATCAACATTGACGCCCTGACCGAGGACTCGAGCGTCAACTTTGACACCTCGACCCTGCACCCGCCGCAGCCCGAAATCACAGAGGCCGACGTGCGCGGGCTGTCGGGCCAGGTCAGGCAGCTGCTGCGCGGCGGCGATGCCGAGGGAGCTCTCCGCGGGTGCCTCGAGACGCCGGTATATAATGGGACGGATGCAGCCAAGGTTAGTGCGACGGAGCGCAATCCGGAAACGAAGAAGAGATGCGTGCGCGAGACAGCAGCTCGAGATGCCCCCCCCCCAACGCCCCTTTTGCCCTCGCGTGCCTACTACGACCCGTTTTGTTGAAATTGTGGCATGAGCACTCGTCAATAGCTAGACTGACTTCTTTTTTTTTCCTCCCCACAGGATGCCCATCTACAAACAATCACCGAAGTCTTGCAGTCCATCAAGGCCAGCGACATGACGCCGCTGCTGAAGCGCATCTACGAGTCTCCCGGCGGTAGCGAATGCCTCGACGTTCTCATGAAGTACATGTATGATTGCCCTAATGCGGCACTGCCCTGCGTTTCCAAAAAAAAAAAAAGTTTTGATCTAACATCACACCGCGTCACAGCTACAAGGGAATGGCGACATCGAACGCCGGACGCGGGGCGAAGGTCACACCTCAGCCCACCGGCGGTTTCAGCCAGTTCGGCGCCCGTCCCGGCGCGTCCAATGAGCCGGCCTCGGCCGGCATGAGCGTCATGCTTAGCTGGCACGAGAAGCTCGTCGAAGTGGCTGGTCTAGGATGCATCGGTAGAACAATGACCGATTGGCGCCGAGTATAACGACAACACTGGATTGGGAGAGGTTTGGCAACTTTGCAATTTACAAAGCCTATTCAATGCATAGAATCAACAGAAGAACAAAAGTCCATGACTTTGATTTGAACAATTGCCGACGTGTGATGCTCCATTACAGTACATGACGCTGATTATTTCATATTATACGTGCATGTCTTGGAGCCTGTGAGCCTATTTTTGCTCCAATAGATCCTTCAGGCTGGTCTCGCCTGTTCCCCTGGCCAGAGGCTGAGGCTGGTTCTCGCCCTCTCGCCAGCCAATCATGAAGATGATTCTAAATGTGGCTGGGATCGACCCGTCCTCGTTGCCATGTAGTTCGCGATAGATGGCATCGTTGGCCAGCAGGACATCGCGCCTGATGGGGCCCATTTCTCGGCCCAAGATGGCATTGCTTTCGCCCATTGCTTGCAGGTCCTGCATGAGGGCAAACGTGTCTGGGTAGTCGACGATTATGTCGTCGACATCCACCGTCAGCATCTTGAATCCCGCCTTTTGCAGCAGACCGCCCACGTCCCTCACATCGGCTAGCGGAGAGACGTGCGGCGAAATACCTCCGCGACGCTCCAAGTCTGCGAGTTGGAGCGACGTGCGTAGCTCAAAGAGGCTGTCGCCTCCAAGCATTGCTCCAATGAATGGAGAATCTGGCTTCAGAACATTGTTGATCTGGGAGAGGATGCCAGGGAGATCGTTGATCCAATGCATGCTGAGCGAGCTGAGGACCAGATCAAACGACTCTGGCTCAAACGGTAGCGTCTCCTCATCTTCCAGCACACGGCGCTTGATGTTGAGCTTATTGTTGAAATCAAGGCCAGAGTCACGGTATAGAAGCGTCTCCGAGGAGTCGACCGCCGTGAGCTCCGTTATACGCGTCGACAGGGGCGCGGATTCGGGCTTGGAGGGATCGGGGTCTGGATTGTCTGCCGTGAGGGCGCGTGCAATGTTGCAGCTGTTTGCGCCGAGGTCGAGCACGTTGGTGAAGTGCCGATTGATATCCTTGAAAAGTCATGCATCAGCCAAAACCCAGTCGGAAACGAGGCGACACAACTCGGGTTCCAAGCATACCAGCAGTCTTTCTGCGACGCGCATGGCAACCTCATCCTTGAGGTAGTCTGCTTGTCGGCCTTGTTCCACATTGGCTCCTGCGCGCTCCTTCTGGAGCCATTTCGTCCTCCTGTTGAAGACTTGGAATCGCGGCGCGGCGGATGAAGCCACGGCGTAGGTTCGACGGCAGAGTTCTGGAGCGGGTGGCGTGGAATGATGGAGAGAAAGTCGAGGGAGCGCCCTCGCCGCGCTATTCAAGCTTTTCCTGCATGTCGACATGACATTATACTTTGGCAAGACTAGCCTGTACAATTCAGCTGCACGGACATGTAACAAGACGAATATCGAATGGTGATGGTACAATTCTCAATTCAAGTAGCCTTGTAGAAGCTTTCTAGAGTCGCGAAGGGTAAATACAGTGCATGACCCACTGTCCTGACAGGTACCTACGTACCTCCGGTCAGACAGCTCCGCCGCCGCCCACCGAGACCGCCAGCACCACTCTTCAACCTCTCCCCTCAATCGATTCTACAGCGCAGCCTGTTTGTCTTGACTCGCACTGAGACAGCCCGGCTTTTGTGGGCGCTGATACAACTGTACGCCCTTCTTCACTGGTGCGTGAGCTCTTTTCCCTGCCGAAAGAACTCACTGCCGGCATATCTTGGCACCGCCTCGTCACCATCGGCCCATCCTCGCTCCCCTCCTAAATCAAGCGCTAGGCAAAGCGGCCATCTCAGCGACCTTTCGATAGTTTACGGCTGTGCCTCCATGCCATTCTCGGAAGCCTATTATGCGACTTCTGTGACGACATAAAACGGACATTCGAACAGTGCACGAGCACGAAACCGCCCGCGACCTTTTCTGCGAGGCCCAGTCGAGCCGCTGATCTCGGAAAGGGGGCCCAACACGAGACGGACTCTTTGGATTGCGCTCACGACCACGGTACAAACGCCCAACATGTCGTCTTCGGGAGGTGGCTTCTTGGGCCGCTCGAGCAGCAGCACCGCCAACATGCGCGGCCTCGTCCAGTTCATTGCCGATTTGCGAAATGCCCGCGCCCGCGAGCTCGAGGAGAAGCGAATCAACAAGGAGCTCGCCAATATCCGACAAAAATTCAAGGATGGAAACCTCAGCGGCTACCACAAGAAGAAATACGTCTGCAAGCTCCTGTACATTTATATCCTGGGCTGGAATGTTGATTTTGGCCATCTCGAAGCTGTCAATCTCATTTCGGCGGGCAAGTACTCGGAGAAGCAGATTGGCTATCTGGCGGTTACGCTGTTCCTTCACGAAAAGCACGAGCTACTACACCTCGTCGTCAACAGTATTCGCAAGGATCTTTTGGATCACAATGAGCTTTTCAACTGCTTGGCTCTGCACGCAATTGCCAATGTTGGAGGCCGCGAAATGGGGGAGTCGCTAAGTGGTGACGTGCACCGGCTTCTGATCGCTCCGTAAGTGCCCTTCCCTACCTCTCAATCTGTGCTTTGACCAACATCCCCTCTAGTACGTCGAAATCCTTTGTCAAGAAGAAAGCAGCCCTTACTCTGTTGCGACTGTACCGAAAGAGTCCCGAAATCGTCAACCCACAGTGGGCTGATCGCCTGATACACTTGATGGACGACAATGACCTCGGTGTTGCTCTCTCTGTCACATCGCTGGTAATGACGGTTGCGCAGGACAGCCCGGATCTGTACAAGGGCGCCTACGCGAAAGCCGCTGCTCGACTCAAGCGCATCGTCATCAATGCTGAGTATACGGCCGATTATCTATACTACAAGGTCCCGTGCCCATGGCTTCAAGTAAAGCTTCTGAAGCTCCTTCAGTATTTTGCGCCCTCAGGTTTGTTAAGCATTACCGCTATCTTGTACCATTCCTAACCATATTTCAGATGATACCCATGTTCGCAATATGCTGCGAGAAGCCCTGCAAAAGATTCTAAGCCTGGCTACGGAAGGTAGCAAGAACGTGCAGCAAAATAATGCACAGAATGCTGTTTTATTTGAAGCAATCAACCTCATCATTCATCTCGACACCGAGCATGAGCTGATGGATCAGATTTCATCTCGGCTGGGCCGCTTCATTCAAAGCCGCGAAACTAATGTTCGCTACCTTGGCCTCGAAGCAATGACACACTTGGCCGCGCGCACACGAACGCTTTCTCCCATCAAGCAGCACCAAAATATTATTCTCGGGTCACTCAAAGACCGTGACATCAGCGTTCGGCGCAAGGGACTAGATCTCCTCTACAGCATGTGTGATTCTACGAATGCTAGAATCATTGTCGGCGAGCTTTTGCACCACCTTCAAAATGCCGACTACGCCATTCGTGAAGAAATGGTATTAAAGATTGCCATTTTGACGGAAAAGTACGCCACGGACGTTCAGTGGTACGTCGACATTTCCCTACGACTGATCGCCATGGCCGGTGATCATGTTAGCGACGAAGTATGGCAACGCGTCACGCAAATCGTCACCAACAATGAAGAACTCCAAATATATGCTGCTCAAAATGTCCTGCAGCACATCAAGTCTGATCATTGCCATGAGACGCTGGTCAAAATCGCAGCCTATATACTTGGCGAGTTCGGCCATCTAGTCGCAGACCAACCGCGGTGCAGCCCTATTGAGCAGTTCATGGCTTTGCAAAACAAGCTGTCCTCGACGTCATCTAGCACTCGTGCCATGATTCTGTCATGTTTCATCAAATTTGTCAACCTCTTCCCCGAAATCAAGCCACAGTTGGTCCGCGTTTTCCAGATTCACAGCCACACCTTGGACTCGGAAATGCAGCAAAGAGCCTGTGAATATCTCACCCTTGCGACACTTCCTACCGATGACTTGTTGAGAACAGTCTGTGACGAGATGCCTCCCTTTCCCGAAAGAGAATCGGCTCTTTTGTCACGTCTACACCAGAAGCACGCCAATACCAGCGATCGACGCACATGGGTTGTCGGAGGAAAGGATGCCAATACGGATGAGACCGAACTGAGCATGGCCAAACCTGGTCTCAAACGTTCTTTCAGCTCTGGAAATGCCCTCAACGGAACAACCGAAGTATCTTCGAGAGGAGCAAATGATTTGGCAGGCCTGAACATGAGTGGATCAGCAGAGCCGGCCAAAGTACAGAATTTGGCTAGTGCCGCACATTTGTCGCCCGGCTGGGAGAAGGGCTATGACCGTCTCATGCTTCGCTCAGAGGGTGTCTTGTACGAGGATGGCCAACTACAAGTAGGCGTTCGATCCGAATACCGTGGGCAAATGGCTTGCATTATTGCATACTTCAAGAATAAAAATCCTGGCGAAATATCGTCATTTACCACTACCTTGGACTTGGATCGAAGCGAAAAGGCCAATCTAACGTGGGATGTCAAAGACTCGCCGGACAGCAGCCTCGTTCATGGTGGCCAGTCGCAGCAGGTTATCATGTTTGAGGCGCAAAAAGCATTCACAAAGAGCCCGACAATCAGAATCAGTTATTTGGCTGGATCTCTACAGGCCATTACGCTCAAGCTTCCCATTGCTTTACATAAGTTTATGGATCCTGCAGAACTATCGGCAGAAGACTTTTTCAAGCGATGGAAGCAAATCAGCGCTGGTCCGAGAGAAGCACAGGGTATTTTTGGTGTAAAAGCCAAGGCCAAGAACAGGGAGATTACAGAGACGTTTGTCAGGAAATCCGTAGAGGGGTTCCGATGGCGTTTGCTTGATATGGTAGATCCCAACCCCAAAAACATTGTCGGTGCCAGTGTGCTCCATACGACACAAGGCGGAAAGTTTGGATGTCTCATGAGACTTGAGCCAAACTATGGAAGCCAAGTACGTCTTCAGCCCTGACCTCATGATTTTTTGCTAACGTTTGACCTCAGATGATTCGACTCACAATCCGCGCTACTGATGATTCGGTGCCCGCAATACTGCTCAAGCTCATGCAGGATTACTTGAGCATGGGTGTTTCCGCGGGGCCTGAGCTGCCCGAACCTCCCACGAGACAGGAAATCTCGGCTGCGTTTGGGAATGTTATGGTGGGATGAGTGGGAGCAAGGGTCGGCACCCGCGTGCCAAATGAAGAACAGTGCCGGGGCACAAATACGGAAGGCAGGCATTTATTTGTATATGCGCGTGGAGCAATCTGGCGTTTGGCGGGTTTTGATGGTAGTTTCGAGTTGACAAGTTTGAAAAAGCATAAGAAAAAAGCGTTGAGCTGCCTCATGTTGTTTGATGATGACGTGTTTGGTCCAGCACAGCAATGCGTGAGGACAACGATGATTGCGAAATGGTGACTTATTTACAGTGCAGAGAGTATGTGCAGCTAGAGTTGTTAATTATACACGGATCTGAGCATCCGCTTTATTCGGCCGCTGACCAAAAATGGTACTGCCGACGCGAACCTCGCCACTCCCCTCGGCGATGGCGCCCTCGAAATCCTCGCTCATGCCCATGCTCAGCTCCAGGCTCTCGGGCTCGACGCCGAGCGCCTCGGCAACGAGTCGTCGCTGCTCCTTGAGCGCTACAAAGTCTTCATTTCGGTTCTCCGGCGTAGTGGCCTTGCTGCGGGCAATGGCGCCAATGGTCATGAGGCCGAGGAGCTTGAGGCTGTCGCAGTGCTCGGCAATCTCCCTGCACAGGGCGACGGTCTCGTCGCCCGGCGCACAGCCCGACTTGGCGTCCTCGCCCGACGTGTTGACCTGGACGTGGACGCCGAGCGGTGGCACCGCGGGATCGGCGTCGCGAAGGACGGCGCGGGCGGCGTCGAGCAGGCGGGCCTTTTTCGGAGTGTCGACGCTGGAGACGCAAAAGAGGTTGGGAATGCGGGCGAGCGATTTGCAGTGGCTCGACTGCAGGCCGCCGATAAAGTGCCACTGGACGGTTCGGGGAAGCAGCTCGGCCTTTTGGCTCAGCTCCTGGGCATAGTTTTCGCCAAAGTGCGCGTGGTGCGCCGGCGCTTCGTGCAGGGCGAGAATGTCATTCGCGGGCTTGAGCTTGGAGACGGCCACAAGGCGGACCTGATCAAAAAGAATGAGCAATCGAGGGACAAGGCGCGGGAAGTGGAGGAAGGGGAGGGGGGGAATGAATGAGTGCGCAGGGTGTAAAGAAGCTTCTTCTTTTTTTTTTTTTTGCTTTCCTGTGCGGCAATGCAGGCTGCAGGCTGCGGGCAGGGGCTGGCTGGTCACTACGTACATTGCGGCCGGCGTTGAGGGCAGCGATGCGCTGCTGGACGGATGAGAGCTGTGACACGAGCGTCGCCGCTCTGGCGGGATCTATGCGCATTTCTTCAGTGTTTTCACTCATTTCTCATGAGGCATGATAGAGATGAGGGTCGAGCAGGTCCACGATGAGTATGGTTAAAGAAGTAAGTAGGGAGAAGAAGAAAGAAGAAAAAAAATGTGCAAAGGGCGCAAGAATTACAAAATGGCCACCAGCCCAGCGTGGGTCGTTTGCATCGAGTCATCCATTTTTTGGCGGTGCGCTCGTCGCCCGTAGTGCTGGCAGCTGTCCACCTGCTTGCTAACCTCCAGCAGGGGCCGGCACATTCTCGGGGCGCGTCAACCACATCACAGTTGTGGCAGTATCAAAAAAGGACCAGCAGCATCGGCTTCTCTTCAATAGCGCTCTCTAAAACCTAGAAAGTTTTCCCAGACCTCATCTCGAGGACAGTCCCGTCCAGAGTACCACCAAATCGTCATCCACGTCGGCGTGGAGGGGCAGTCGAACATGACCTCTGACCCCAATCTGCTGCGCCGCCGGGCCAACAGCGCGACCACACGCAACGGCCACGCCCGCGGAGCTTCAAAGCAAATGATCCAGCCAAAGTCGATACACACGTCCGACGAATTTGTGCGGGAATTTTTGGGGCCGTCCTTTGACCCGGCCGCCTTCCTCAACGCCAAGCTGCCGCCGCTGGCGCCCAGGTCGTCGGGTGCTGCCGCCACGCCTGCTGGGGCGGTGCCGCTGGCGGACCTCTCACAGCAGGCCAACGCGCTACTCTCGCAACTCAGCGCGCAGACGACGCGGCTGTCGTCGACGCTGACGCAGCTCACCGACGACATCCTGCGCAGCGGGAGCCGGCTGGCGTACCAAGTCGAGCTGCTGCGCGGTGAGACGCTTAGTCTGAATGAAACGCTACACGAAACACTGCAGGAGGACATTGCCAAGTTTCTACCCGAGGGCATTCACGGGAAGCAGGACGAGAAAGGCAACGAATCTGTTGGGGGAGAGGATGGCCAGGATGAGGAGCGCAAAGACAAGGCCAACGAAGCCGACGCCTATGCACAGCTGCCTATCTCAACAACCACGGGAGCAATTGGTGCCAGCAATGAGCCGACTTGCGTCCAGCAACTACGAACACTGACGCTGGTGCGCTCACGCTTGGAGGACGTGATCAAGATATTTGGCGACGCCATGGATTTCGGCTTCCCCCCATCCGAAGTCTCCGTGAGCTCTTCTTTCCTCTCCGTGTCCGCGCCCGAGCCGGGCTCCGACCAGCAGAGCTCCGAGGCTAAGGGCCAGCAAAACCTAAAGGACCTGCGCGACGAAATCAGCAGCCTGCTGCGCCCAGACAGAGACGGTGGCGCCGTCGACCCCGTCGCCGGCATCGAGCGCGCGGCGAACCGCATCGAGGAGCTCAAGACGCTCAACGCTGTGTGGAGGGGCACTGCCGAGGAAAAGGGCCGCAGCCGATTTATTGAGAGTTTGGCGAAAATGGTCGAGGACAGGCACAGGGAGCTCATGCGCGAGCTGGAGCAGCAGCAGCAGCAGCAACAGCAGCGCGGGGCGTCGCCGGCGAAGAAGACGGGGGATGGCATGGTGAGAAGGACGGGATCGCCGGCGCTCGGGGATGAGACGAGACCGGCGCAGCCGCCGGGGGGCTTTGGCTTGATGAGCCAACTGCAAAAATTACGAAACGGATTGTAAAAAACCACCATGCCGAATAGCACAATGAACAGCATTAATATAAATATATACTACTACTGGTGCACTGGTGTATGCATATTCTGCAAATTCGCCGGTAATTGCGAACCAAGTCAGCTTCTCTTGACCATGATATGACATGATTGAAGGAATAAAGTGTATTTACTTTGCCATTTAAAGATGAAAAAGCAGTTTCTGAAAGTGCTGATTTCCCAACGGCTCCAAGACAATACAAGGTATAAAACAGTTTGCTCAGTACATCATCTGATGTCCGTGTACCGGTCAGCATAGAATTAATCTCGATGATGCGTCAGAATAATGTAACCCTGCAGGCGATAGTTGTTTTTATGAAGTCATTTCATCTGCACTCGACTCGCGAAATGCATCAACTACTGATTGTTACAATGTATTTTCACAGTGCATCTGTACAGTGCTAATCTACGTTACACTATGGATCTTTCTTCAGCACCCCGCTGACCAATCAGATGTACTTCATGGGCCACTAACCGCTCCACGCGGGCGGTGAGATGGCCCGATACGGCCAGTAGCACGACATCAGCCATCAGCATCTGGGGCAGAAAGCCTGTCGCACAACACCAACGAACGCTATCCCGCCTTCTCCTCACCTCGCTGTTGACCCAGGGTGTCTGCGTCGTTGGCAAGGCTCTCTGGAGTGCATGCTTTTTTGCATTTTGATTTTCTTATCTCTCCTCCTCTTCCCACAATTGTGGCAGTTCTCGCCCGCAAAAGCTCGATTGTGCCCACCATCACAACCGCCTGCAAGCCGCCAACAAGCTTTTGTGGCTGTTACACCCCGGTATTCTTCCAGAATAATTTTGCCTCATACATATATATCATCTTCCGCACACTGTCACTTTATACACTTCATCACATTTACAATGGCCACCAGCGACGCTGCCGCAGCCTCTGCCCTTGGCGGTCGGGCCGACCGGCGCTCTCCTCCTGCGGCGTCCCAATCAAAGCGTGACCGCAAGCGACAAGCTCTCATGGACCGCCTTGCCACAATGAGCGACAAGTTTCAGCGCGAACAGGACCCGACGTACCGCGACCAACTACAAAAGATTCAGTTTGAGCTTAACCTCGTGCAGCGCTTCGATCCCTACGCGGAGAACCCGCTCGACGCGGCCGACGAACTGCGCAAAGAGCACAAGCAAGTTCTCGGCCCCATGGCCAATTCGGACAACGCGCGAAGCATGATAGACATGGCTGGCATTCGATTTCCCGAGTTTATGGACGAGCTCGAGGATCTCGTAGAAATTCGCGATTTTCAGCTGGCGCAGTCCAAGGTATGCTGTGCATTCTGTGGCGGACGCATCAAAAGGCGCCCATGGCTAACTGTTTGTCTAGAATGAATACGATCGCAAAGTGCAAGAATACAAGAATACACATGCCTACAAGACCGAAACCGCGAAGCGAGAGCACCGAGCTCTTACAAAAACTCTGCGAGATCGAATCATCAACACTCTCACACAAAAGAAGAACCGTCTGAACCGTGAAAAGGAAGTCCTCGAGATCAACGACTCCAACGCCCTCCTCCTAAACCCCAACCAATTCAGCCTGACAAACCCCGGCTCTCCTGGCGGCACCCATGGCAAACGAGCAACCCGCCTGCGCAAGGACGCCGACGACCTGACTCTGTTCCCCGACGCCAAAAAGCGCAAGCGGAACCACGAAGACGACGCCTCGGCGCCCGCACGCCGCGGCATGGACCCGAGCAGCACCACGCCGCTGTGGCAGTCGGAAAAGGCTCGAGCCGTGGCCAAGCAAAATGGCCCGGTGTACAGCATCGACAAGCTCTTCACGGACAAGGAGCTGTCGATGCACTACAATACGTCGGCCATTGCCGCCCACCAGTACGTGCTGCGCAACCGCGCCAACGGCAACGCCTCGCTGCCCGACGACGACAGCGATTCGGGCCACATCAACGGCGACGACAATGACAACGAGTCGACGCCCTCGGCGGCGCCCGCTATGGAGCGCAACGTCTCCCACGCGACTAGGAGCACGCGTGGCGGGGGTGCCGCCGCCGCCTCGGCCGCCGCCGCGGCGCAGAACTTCCTTGACGACAAGATCCTGGGCCTCGAGGGCATCGCCAACTTTGAGCTGCCCGGAAACCTGGACCTGATTCACGCGCAGGAGCCGCCCAAGATGCCGCCGCCGGTACCGCAGCAGTACCTCAAGCCGTACACGCGCACGGCCGACCAAAACTTCCCGGTGCCGCTGTCCCAGGACGACATCGCCTCGGACCTCACCGTCATGGGCTACTTCAAGCAGTACGACCAGTCGCACCACCGCCCCGGCGCGCACCTCGACGCCTCGACAGGCATGCGCCGGGTGCTCGAGGCCGTGGCCACGCCATACCACCGCGGCAGGTACGTCGCCTTCACCGCCGCGCCCCGCGACGACCCAGAGGCGGTCAGCGAGAACCTTGGCATCCCCAGCAGCCTGCGCGACCAGCCCAGCCCAACGGGACCCTCGGGTGCCGCCTTTTCCTCGGCGGCGGCCGCGGCCGCGGTTCCCATGAGCAGGCAGAGCAGCGGCGGCACGACCATGAGTCGTCAGGCCACGGGAGGCAGCGGACGAGGCAAGGGTCGACGTGGTTAAATGATGACGTGAGCACGTTTCTTTTGGGTTCATGGTTTATCATGCGGCTTTTTATTCTTGACCCGCAGCTTTGGGTCTCATCTACACTATGGCGGGCGTTGATGAATTTGGGTTTTGGCGGAGCAGGCGCAGCAGCAGGACGGCAAAGGCCCTTGGTTGCTGCTGTTTTATCGCCATTGTGCTCTTTGATCTTCAATCTTTCTTATGTATTTGTTTATTTCGCAAGTTCTGGTTATACTGGATATCATTTTCCCACTTGGTCTTTTTGTCTTTGATGACAGAGTCTGGAGTCCTCGTAATGAAGGAAAGAAGGAGACAAGCAACAGGCCCGTGGGACTAAAACGAAGATTTAGCATTGATTTACACTGGAAGGTCTTATTTCTGTACAGATTCCTTGGTCACCATAGCACAAGAGTCACAATACGACGAGTTGATTTTAACATGTTTAATTTCGTAATGTGAATCAAAGCTCTTCTCATGCTACCCATGTCGTGCACCCGTAGGTCACAACTTTCACAATTGATAGTCCTCCCCTTCCCTCTAGCGCTCTAGGTCCTCACGGCCCAAACACGAGCGTGCGCACCTCGATGCTCTCGCGGCCCTCGGCGTCCACCCGTGTCCTCGGGTCCGCAAACGCGCTGTGCGGGGCGCGCCCGCCAATCGCCGACCCGGGCTTGAGCGACTCGCTGTCGAAGCACTCGAGCAGCAGCCGCTCGCTGCCCGTCATGCCGCTCAGGTAGTAAAACTTTTGCTGCGGGTTGTACCGGACGGCCGCCGTCTCGCCCGTGTAGCCGTTGGCGTAGCGGTGCTGCACGGGCACGACGTCGGCGTCGTCGAGCGAGCTCGTCGACGCAAACGCGAGCGGGTTGCTCTCGACGGGGCCCTTGTTGAGCGGACGCCACACGTTGACGAGCCGGTAGCGGCCGGCGAGCAGGGCGTCGGCCTCGCCCGTCTCGCCAAAGTAGCGGCGCACGCGCTGCTCGACGGACCGCGCCGTCTGGTCAATGTGCACGCGGTTCACGGGCCCGCGGGACGCGCCCGGGTCGGAGCGTCGGATCGTGTGGTCAAAGATGTAGACTCTGGTCGCGCCAGGAATGTGGTCGAGCAGCAGCCGCTCGACCTCGGGGTAGTAGTGTGCGGCGATGGAGTCGTCCGAGGTGAATGAGGGCTCGGCAGAGGGCGGCACGTCTTGGATGACCTGGAAGGCGTCGCGGTCGAGGGTAAAGTCGGACTCGCGGCCGCGAATGTCGTGAATGGTGGTGGGCTGTACAACGTCCGAGTAGTTGCGGTCGGGCAGCGTCGGCGCGGGGTCAATGTTGTTGTAGGGCACCGAGTCGTCGGCTGGCGGGTGGTAGTAGTGGAGGTTGGCGGAGACGTCTCCTCGTGGAATAGCAACCGCGGCGGCCATTGTGTGTGATGTGGAACAAGTTGCTTGGAAGGAAGAATGCAAAAAGGTAGGCTATATATATATTTTTTTCAATTCCAGCGCCCGTGTGTATATATCGTAGATGTGGTGATAGTGTAACGGGCCCCGATACGATGACGTTGATTTAATGGACGTTGTTGTGGTCGAACGGTTTGTGGCGGAGCTGTTTGGAAAAGGAAAAAAAAAAAAACCTGCAATGTTTGGCTCTCGGTGTATACAGTTGGGCTGGAAAGCCCTGGATATATAAATCTTCCGAAAGACAAAATGCAACGGGCAGCAGGATGATGTGATTTCAAATCAACCGGCTTTCAAATCAAGCCTAGGCCCGGTTGACGCCATACTTGCCGCGGGGAGAGGCTGACGAGTGGGGGTGGCCCCGCAGGCGTGTCCGTCTCCTCCCCTTGGCCGTGCACCACTCAGAGAGTTGGAACGCTGCCGACAATTACTCATCGAGTCGATGCTTTCAAAATTTGTCTCCTATGTCGATGAATGTGGCTACGTAGGGCGGGCGGCTGCACCATTTGACGCCGGGCAAAAGGCGCGGCTTACAGAATCACGGCCCCACTTGGCCGATGAGGCGTCGGCCGATGACCCAGATCAACTTGGCTTGAAAGTTGCGATTTCACCATAATTGGGGAGCAAGGTGTAATGCAATTTATTAATCTTGTTATACATTTGAAATCGCATGTGTACTACAACGCACCTTCTAGAAAGCTATGCATAGCCCTTGTCAATGTCGCCGAGATCAAACCCGTTGGCCCGATATGAGTGACGTATTCATCTATACAAACCTGTACTTGCTGCGATTGAATTGCCCGCCCACACTCATATACTTTGACGACATCTTTAAGAAGAAAGTGCACAAATAGAGACACTGTCGCGAGTCACGGCGTTTTGGGAGGGTCCGCTTTTTAAGGCGACCTTGACGTTGGTTGCTCTTATTGTCGCCCTTGCTATTACCATCACCATCGGGGTTACTGTTGGGATTGGAACTGGGGTTTCCATAGCCAGATATCCAGTCCAATTTCGACGAGCCGCTTTGCCATTGTTTGAGCTGGTCTCAGACGAGCTACTTGAGCAGCCGGAGCCGAAGCAAGACCCTTGACCGAGATCGCCGCCAAGACCGGTAACCAACTTCGGGAAATGCAATTTTGGATTCGATGATGGATCACTTGGATTTGAACTTGGGCGGCGCCACCTGACCGTAGAAGCGTCTTTCTCGTTATTGCAGACGGCACCTTCGTTGCGGTACAAAGAATGCCGTTACTACTACAGCAGGAAGAAGAGGAGGGATACAGAATTGGCTACGGCTCTTGCTGCTAGACGGATAGGCTCGGGACACCGTGGCGCCTAGGTCTGGTATTTTAAGGCTGGAACAGTACAAGGCTGACGCAGTTCAAGGCCAATACGTGCAATGGGAATCGGTTTTCTGCAACACTCAGGGCAAGACTGGACTTGGCCAATAGAGCCAACCCAGTAGTGAAGCGCATTTGGTAGGAGGATTCTGTACAATGAAGTAGTTGGGGGTTAAAGACAAGTAGCCCGGTAGTTGAGGAAAAGTCTTGACGATATTCGACTTTGAGGACAACATTTATTGGCAATCACTCCTGCATGCAAGATAAAGGAACTGTAAGAAGACACAGGCTAATTTTAGCTACCCACCAATGAACCGACTCCAGCTCCTGCACAGCGCATTTTGGGAGCCGTGCACGCGGTGGGCGCGGTGGAGAGTAGCTGAGGCACTAGTGGCAATGGCCCGCCTCATTAGGGCTGGAATTGAAAGCTTTCAGGACTCCGCCGTTCAAAAAGATGCAAACTTTGCGGCGAGGTCTCGCTATCCGAGGGATTCATCCAATGTTGAGTTTGACAGGTGACAGATAGGACGGATCCAGGTGGAAAACGAGTGGAGACTAAAATTAGCTGAGGGTCCGGTGATAATGGGTGTTGTAATCTAATAATAGGCAGTGTGATGGTTGGCAGTCTACGGATACGTAAATGAACGAGGAGAAACGAACTGTGGCCGTGGTCCGTACCTAGCCAAGTGGTTAGTCAGCGAGCACAACAGCAATGGGCATAATTGAACATTTTATGCCCCTTGGCGACATCCGCATCTGACGAGGTGGATGCAGGGGTAGAGAATAGAAAAAAATTGCCATGACCAGTGAAAGCTGATGAGACTTATGTGGGAATTTGCTAGCTTGTATTTGTTTTCAAAATTGTGCATTCAATTGCTGTCCCGCCGATCCTCATCGCGCGTCATGATGTATTTCCAGAGGCACAAGACAAAGGGCTAATTAGCACACGAAACCCCGCAGTCGATGCGGCAAGCCATCCGAGGAACCGAAAGTCGATTGCCCTTTTCAGATGATGCGAGCCTCCGATTTTTTTCCTCTTCTTTTCAAAAACAACTGGATTCGTGACAATAGCCAGGCCGAAGATACCGAGGTCAAAGCCATGGCTGCGAAATTAAGAGCCCCCCCGTGCGGGCCACGACTCCTTTTTATAGCTAGGTACAGGCAATCGGCAACTAAATATTGTACCAGCTTACCAGCCAAGGTTGGCGAATAACAGGCCACTAGTCAAACTGCCGTCTTCATCATCGACCCTCTTCGCTTGGCATCGACGGCTCCACGACTCCTCGAACCATCTTTTCCAGCAATTTTTACCTCTTTTGTCTGCTTGACAGATTATGCTCAATCTTCCCACCATTCATCCTCGCCCTTCATCAACCTGTTTGTGCGCAAGGGTAATGCCTCGTTGCAGTTGTTCAATTTCTGCACCAGTTTCTTCTACGCACCGTTTGGCCACTCAACGCCACCACCGGATTTAGCTTTGCAATCTCATCCGTCGCCTCAATCTGGCCACAATTGAACCTTTTCCATCGCCACTACCGCAGCTATCATCAAGCACCTCATCTCCCTCTCTCTGGTGGCCAGACTTGGCCTGTTTAATGGATAGCCCGCCGTAGCCTTGCCGCGATTGAGCGCAAGCCGCGCCACGCGCGGTGCTGCTGAACGACGCTGACCATGGCCCAGCTTACCGTCATCCCGGCCAATGGCCATGCTTCCGTCGCTATCCCTGGTCGCTCTCCGTTGCCAGACCGCGCCGTCACTGCCGAGACGATTGAGGATGCCTACGTCGCCTTCATCTTCTACTGTAACCCCGCCCTGCCTGCTGACTGCGACACCGAGACTCTGCGCGAGGCCTTTCGCAACCCGCCCCGTAGCGGTGGCAAAGTCTTTCACCCATTTACCATTTACGAACTTGTTCGCCGGTTTTATACCAAAGAGATCAAGACATGGACTGAATTGACCACAAAGCTCGGCGTCGAACCCCCTGACCCTTCCAAGGAGGAGAGTGTTCAGAAGATTGCTCAGTATGGTGTTCGCCTCAAGGTACAAAGCTCCCCACCCGCACCATCAGCACGGCGCTAACGTCCTTTCAGAAATGGCTACATTCAATGCACGTAAAAGCTTTCTTCGAGTATCTGATGGACATGGCAAATGACTACTGGACAAATATTCCTGTGGATCCTAACCCCGTGGCACAGCCTGTTCGTGATGGCGTCGCAGTGGAGGACGACATGGCTCTTAGGGCGCTTCTGCCTCATATACGGCCCAAGAGAGGCCGCAAGAGACCCGACGCCGACAACGCAAGCAATGGTCCGAACCAGCGTCAGCGCACCTCACCAGGGCCCGCCGTCGACGAGTACGCGCCCCAGTCGGCATGGCCTCATAGCGCTGACCCGCGGTCTACACCCATGGAAAATGGACCGATCAGTGCCGCAGCTGCCTGGCCGTCTCATGAAGCGATACAAACGCCATTGACGCGCTGGCCCGCCTCGGCCGTTACACCTTCTGTGCGTGATGCTTTCTGGGGAGACGAGCCTCGTTCTGCTGTGACGCCCAGCAAGCTCAAAGGCTCTCATCAACGCCGCGGAGCCAAGAATGTCTCATCAGCGTGGAAGCTGGGCGGCGACGACGCGCCCAAGAAAACGAGAGGGCGGCCACCGATTAACCGCACACCGATCGACACACCAGCGACAGCCGTGGCCTCATGGTCACACACATCAAACATGCTGCAGCCCCCTGACAAGCGCGATGCGGATAGCTACGTTGGGAGCGACATGTCACAAAACAGCTCCATGGCGGGTACACCGCCGGTCACGATGCAGCAAGCCTCGCAGCAACACATGGCTTTCGAACAGTCTCAGCAGCCTGCTCCCTATGACTCACATTCCATGCCGCAAAGTAAATCAGACGGCTCCCGGCCAGTTCGGCCAAGCATCTCTCTTCAAGTGCCGCAAAGATCTGGCGGCCCCGTGCGTCTAGCAACGCCACCGCTACCGCAACAACAATCACAGCAGCCGCAGACCACGCATGGACAGCAGCCGCCGGCGAACGGTACAGCAGAGCCGCTGCCTACATATGACAATATGCATGCGCGACCACCGGGGCAGCCGCACGCGGAGGACAAGGGTAGCGGTGGCAAATACCAGAAGTGGGAAGTCAACGCGGCAGCAGAAGCAAGCACTGCCGAGGCAGATGGAGGAATCGGCAATAATCTGCCAGAATACTTCTTTGAAACCATGTCGGACCGCACCAATATAGATGCTCTCATGGCATACTTTATACGCATGACGTACGAGTCAAAGTGGGTCGACGCGGACGGGAAGCCGACGGACCCTGCGTCCATGGACGAAGCGACGGCCATAATCAATGCGACGCTCGAAAACATGTACAAGACGGCGGCATCATCGCAGGCGTTTCTGATCAACTTGGCGGCGCTGGCGGGTGCGCGCATGCTTATGACCAATCTGACGCGGTGCACACGCATGGGGGAAAGTGACGGCTTCACGACGTACAAGTGCGAATGGGAGTATCAGTTTGGGCATTTGCACGGGTACTTTAACATGGCGGCCGCGGTGCCGTTTAGTATGTGGCGGGCGAAGCCGAAAACTGCGGGCACGGGCGGCGACAGCAACGCGGGCAGCCGCGCCGACAATGCTGGCGCGAACGACATGGACGAGCCGGACTCGTCGAACCCGCGGCTGCAGGCGGAGCACTGGCAGAACAAGTACAAGTCGCTGCTGGGCCAGGTGGACAAGATGGATAGGGAGTTGTTTGACCTTCGGAACAAGGTGATTGATTCACTTAAGACGGAGCGAGGGGGCAGCGACGCGGCGACGTCATAGTCAGAGGGACCACATGGCACAGGCGTCCAGTTTTGTATATTGGGGTTGGAGGTGTTGGTGAAGTGGTGTATTTTTAGGATGTCTCATTGCATTGCATCTAGGTAAAACATACCATCCTGATTTTTCGAGTTAAGCAAGGCAGGTCGGAAGCAGATTTCGAGAAACGGGCAGCGAGTGAAATCAAGACTGACCTCTAAGCAAGCACGATGTGAAATGTCGGCGGTCACTGTCAGCGTCAACGCTTAACGTAGGCGACAGGTAAGCGTCTTGAGGCATCAACTGGCAGCCATTAAAAAGAGAGAAAGCTTAGCCTGAAAGCGAAAAAGCAAAAATGGAGAATTCTCAAATCTCGAAGCTTAAATCGCTCTCGATCCTGGGCTATCAGTGTGCCGCGCAGATCAGTAAGCTAGAGGACGGTTCAGTCATTCAGCGAGCCTGCCGTTGGCTTCAGAGAGTGAAAAGAAGAAGACAGGGAAGGAAAAAAAAAAATCGACCATTTATCGGTTCAGTTTAGAACCGGTCGAGACATGTTTATATTGTCGGTGATTACCAGTGCAGTCCAAGTCGCCGACCAAACTCTGAGTCTGCTATTGTGAAAGCGCTACCCGGGCTTATTTCAATTGTCTGACGAGGATTGTCGGTCTAGAACAAATCAATCAGAGTCGCAGCGGCAGCAAACAGCCCGACATGTCGAGGAAGCCTTCTTCGCGGGTCAATTTCATTTGGGCGTCGAAGGCCTGTCTCTCGGCCTCGACTGAGACAAGACTTTGCCAAAAAGCAAAAAAAGAAGACGAAGCTCACTTGCCCGCGCCCGCCTCGCCGGCCAGCTGGATCTTGAATTTAGTGGTTTAAAAAAGCCATTTAGTTAGGGGGGGATATGATGGGGATTGTATCTTCAGTTCGAGTCAGCCCCGGCACTGGCTCCCAATTGTCGACCGCCCAGAGCGGCAGAGCCCCGCGAACAGAGCAAGCAGTGGGCCGATGCATCATGTCTCTTGGCCTCAGCCTGGCCCTGTCTGCCCGTCTCCCCCCCAAAAGTCAGCCGCCACATTTTCATGGCGCTTTTGTCGCATCCCAGTCGTCTTTCATGGCGTACTTCTTCCTCTTCTTTTCTTTATCAATTCTTCTCTCCCATCATCATCACCATCGTCATCGTCGTCGTCGTCGTCGTCGTCGTCGTCGTCGCCGCCGCCCTGTTCATGTCACTTCGTAGACCCGACCCGTCTATCGCTGCTTTGACAGGCTCACACGACCCTCCCACACTGAATTTTCCGTCCAATCATTAGCCTCCTTGCCTTTGATGCAGCGCCGCCGCATCGCAAAGGGCACCCTGGCCTAACTAACTGATAAATCTCCCCCTCGTGGAATGTCGACCGGTACCCACCTTCCACGCGACGACGCTTCCCCGGGCACACGCCGCGACATACGCAGAGGCATTGTCGCGACGCCGGTGGAAGCGCTGGACATTGCACAGGTGACAACGTACGTATCATTTTCATATCTTTGACGCTAGGCACCCAGTAACGGCCGACCGTTGCGACGGTGCCTGCGCCGTTGGGCTTCCCCCGAACTCTAGGCCCCGCACAGACTGTTGGTTGCTAATGATTCAAACTCTGTCTCAGTAGCTCAACCTCTCAACATCGCCATGCATCGTCATCCTTGGCCGGGCAAGAAGCCGGCTACTCGAAATCGAACCCCTCACGGATAAATTTCAATGCCAACATTGAGGCCAAGTGCGTATACTGACACCAACCCGCTGCCCCCGTCCATGCCTAACTTTTTCCACCCCCAGAATCAAGAACCCCCTCGTCGGTGTCCCGCGCCATACCCTCCTCGGCGATGTCGACGAATTCTGCCGCGCCAAGGGCCTCGACGAGCACCGCGCCCTCCTCCGCAAGGGCGCGCTCGTCGCCCAGGATCCCACAGGCTACGAAGACATTACCGGCGACGAGGCCCTGACGCAGGCTGAGGTCGACGCCCTGCGCAACGAGGTCCTGCACAAGTGGCGCGTGCCCCGCGTCCTCTTTCTCACCATTGTCACCTGCTCTATCGGCGCCGCCGTCCAGGGCTGGGACCAGACGGGCTCCAACGGGGCTAACCTGCACCTGCCCATCGCCCTGGGCATCGGTGGCGCCTCGACGGCCGACCAGCTGCGCGTCGGCCTCGTCAACTCGGCCCCCTACATCGGCACCGCTCTGCTCGGCTGCTGGCTCTCGGACCCCATCAACGACTGGATCGGCCGCCGTGGCACAATCTTCTTCGCTGCCAACTTTTGCCTTTGGCCCGTCCTCGCCAGCGCCTTTTGTCGCACCTGGGAGCAGCTCGTTGTTTGCCGCCTGCTGCTGGGCATCGGCATGGGCACAAAAGCCTCCACCGTTCCCATCTTTGCCGCCGAGAACTCGCCCGCCTCGATCCGCGGTGCCCTCGTCATGAGCTGGCAAGTCTGGACCGCCTTTGGCATCTTCCTCGGCACCTGCGCCAACCTCATCGGCGAGCGCATCGGCCGCGATGCCTGGCGCTACCAGCTTGGCGCCGCCTTCATCCCTGCCGTCCCCCTCGCCGTGCTGATCTACATGTGTCCCGAGTCGCCTCGCTGGTACATTAAAAAGAACCGCTACGCCGACGCCCTGCAGTCGCTGCTGCGTCTGCGCAACGACCCCGTCCAGGCCGCCCGCGACCTCTACTACATCCATGTCCAGCTACAAGTTGAGCGCGACTTTGTCGGCAACACTCACTACGTTAAGCGCTTTATTGAACTCTTTACCCTTCCTCGCGTGCGGCGCGCCACCCTTGCCGCGTTCACGGTGATGCTGGCGCAGCAAATGTGCGGCATTAACATCATCGCCTTTTACTCCTCGTCGGTATTCCAGCACGCCGGTGCCTCCAACTTCCAGGCCCTGCTCGCGACATGGGGCTTTGGTCTCATTAACTTTTTATTCGCTTTTCCTGCCATTTGGACTATTGACACTTTTGGCCGGCGCTCGCTGCTGCTCTTTACCTTTCCGCAAATGTCGTGGACGCTCCTCGCCGCCGGCCTGTGCAACCTCATCCCGGGTCACAAGGGTGCGCACCTTGGCCTCGTTGCCCTCTTTGTCTACCTCTTTGCTGCCTTTTACTCCCCGGGGGAAGGTCCGGTGCCCTACACCTACTCTGCCGAGGTCTTTCCGCTGTCGCATCGCGAGGTCGGCATGGCCTTTGCCGTGGCAACGTGCCTCTTCTGGGCTGCCGTGCTGTCCATAACGCTGCCCGTGATGCTGGCGTCGATGGGCGTCATGGGCGTCTTTGGCTTTTACGCAGGACTCAACATTGTCGCGCTCGTCATGATCTTTCTCTGGGTGCCCGAGACGAAGCAGCGGACGCTCGAGGAGCTCGACTACATCTTTGCGGTGCCCACACGCGTCTTTATGCGCTACCAGGTGACGAAGACGCTGCCGTGGTGGTACCGGCGCTACCTGCTGAGGGACAAATGTGCGTTTCTGGATCCGCTGTACCAGCTCGACCTCGAGGACCATCACGCTGCGGATGGTGCGGACAATCCGTCAGAGAATGACAAGGCCAAGGTTGAATTGAAGGAGATGGTCGGCTTCACAACGGGAATCGATCCTCGAAACGGAGAAGAATCGTCCGTGTCGTCGGATATCATACATTGACTGGCTATCATTTGGCTATTCTGGTTTTGAACGGGCGTTTGGGACTCTTATGATGTGATGAACAGGGTAGATTTCATGATTGACTTGAGCGACTTGAGCATGGCGCTTGCGATTTGAAACGATACCTTTGGATTTTTGGTAAATAATGTATTCAGTATAAAGTAACAAGGTCATCTTTCCCATTTCTCAAGGTGTTTCTCTTTACCCCAGGCTGAAGCACTTGCTCATGGAGTCCCAAAGAGAGCCAGCAAGACGCCATTGAACTTGCTGTACATGCCAGCCGAATCAACAAGTAGTCACGCGTAGCCTGCCACTGTGCCACTGCATGAGGGAGGCTACGCATAATCCGTACATCACAAAAGGACCTCATCAAGCCCAGTTGTGTGGCCGATATTAGCAGTGACAGCTTTACAATATCACATGCAAGTTGATTGATGGACTCTATCGCACGCTTTGAAATCTGGCAGCTCAATCGATTCGGATGGGAGCACAACCATGGCCCGTAAATAAATGTTGGCAAGGAAGCAATGTTTGCGTCATTTGGACAGTGCCGATATCGATGTGTGCCGCCACGCCGGAAATCGAGGTCTCAGATACTGCGGAGTTGGTAGATGAATCGGGTGCTTATTCCCCAAGTGCCCTGGGTCCCCTGCCTGGAATCTCCAAGACTTTTCGGCCCCCGACTCTTTGTGTGCTCGTGTGATGACTAGTTTGTAATACCGATTGAAAATGGGTATAAAAGAATTTTAATCGCCAGCACCGACACGGTAAGCCCACGCTCTTGGTGGTGGGGGTTGCCTACAAGTGGCTGCTGGATTGTCGTGTTTGTGGTTCTTTTGGTGGAACGTGTGAAGTCATTGTCTTGACGAGATATGGGGATTGTGGTGGAGGCGGGTATTTCACTACTGGAAACTAGCGTCACTGATTTTATTCTTCATGACGGAAAGAAAAAGCAAAGTGCAATATTCGTCATTGGGCAGGTGGCTCAACGCTATGGCTCGTCAAGTCGGTCAATCAAGTTGACAACTGTGCGGAATAGTTGCGGCGCTAATGATGCCGCGTAACTGCCAAGTCAATTTTTTCGACGTCAAGAGGTCACTTGGTGGAGATTCTATGATGATTTGGCTTGAAATTTTCGAATTGTGAGTCCAGTTGCTAGCTGCCTGACCTGTGCAAATTTACCCCGTAGATGTCATACCCAAGTCAATGATATCAGCAAGGGCAAAAATCAAGATCTGTGCGTTTTGGTTACCGATATTAATCGAGGCAAAGCGTTGATCCAAGAAAAACACACGGCTTGGTCAGGACAAAAAGGTTTAGGGGAATACGAGGTCCCTTGGGGGGGGGGGATATTGGTCTTCATGCCGTTGAACCGGGGCTCCGGAATAGAGGCTGTGTACGAATATGGAGGGCTCAGAATGAAGATTCCTTGGAGTGATCTCCTATTTATATCCTTACCCCTGACGGACATGCCGGCGCAGATGTACTGATATAATTTCCAATAAGATGATGCATGTCTATATTAAAACAAAGGGCATCCATGCCAACCTGATTATTCGTATGTGCTTGAGGATGGTAAATTCCTAGCTGGACGTAGCCGCACGAATAGTGAACAAACAGTGGTGCGCGGTGGGGTTTATAGCGCGGTCTCTCGCTGTAAATTGTGCCAAGTCTCCGCTGGAAAAATAGCTACAGCGGTCCAGAGTCAGTCAATAGCGGGCTTTCAGGTCAACAGGGCCCCTAAACATTTCTTCTACCAGGCCCGTGTGGCGCCCGGGATGGCCCCCCTGACGGGTGGGTTATAGTGGAGAGCGCAAAAGACGGAGTCGATGCCGCTTTTGATTTCAGATGACAAACTAAAGCCGCCTTTCGCTGCCAACTGCCTTGTTGGCTTGCGGGCTTGTTTCCATACAGCTTGTGCCTCCTGACGCTTCGGCTTTAAAGCGGCGCCATGTTTGCGGGACCAGCTGTCAGGTACCGCCACCCGGTTAGCAAAAAAAAGAGTAAAAAAAAGAAAAAGAAAGAAAGACAGAATGCACGTCGACCCTTGCTCAGTTTCATGTCTTCCACCTCCACCGTTCCTTTGCCATTCTTACTTGTTGTGTTGGAAAATCCTTGCTTTCGTCTCTCAAGCTTCACATTCGTTACTATTCATTCTTCTTTCGATTCCCCTATATTTTTTCTTCCCCTCCCCTCTTGCATGCCTTCTTCCCTTTCCCATCGTCACCTACATACCCTCGTTTACTGCGGGTGCAACCGGTTTTCTCTCGGTTTACGTCATTCGTCATCGTCAATCCTTGACAACGGGATTTGCTGGTGATAGCTTTCATGCTGCCATTGTGCATCAAACGAATTCCTTTTTCTGCCAGAAGACCTCACTAGTTGGCTTGCTCAAGCTCTCACATTCTACCAGAACTCATTTGATACGGCGCTGATATCACGACTCTGCATCTGAAGCTGGTCTTCAGCTCAACCCCGCGAACGAAGTATCGAATGCATATACACATCCTCTAATTCTGCATCATCTTCTACGATTCCGATTCTCCTGACGATATTCACATTCTCTCAGCCAATTGCTGTCTGCAGGCGTTTCATCTTGACTTGAGCGAGCCCGTCTAAACAATCATACCTCTGAAACCGGAGACGACTCCACACGTTACACAATCAAGGACAGCCAGCGCCACGGGACGAAGTCTTTGCGCGCCTCTTTTCTCGAATGAACTACAGAAATTCCTCACGCGCCTCCAAAAGAGACTCGGCCGGCTTCGTCCAGCTCGACGGCGGCTCCCAAGTCGAAATGACGGAACGCGACATCCCCCTCACCAACGTTCGCAGCTACGCCTCCTCCACCGGCGCACGCCAGACTGCCGCCGGCAAGCACGCACACAATGACTCGACCGATTCCAATAACGAAAAGCCAGGCCACCATGGTCGCCGCAAAAAGCACGCCCCCGACGGCCTCAAGCGCAAGGGCACTGGCGATGACGTCGAGCTCAATGCCCTCGGCCGCCTTTACGAAAGGATTGTCGGCTTCTCCGTCGTCACCAGATACATGGTCTACGTTGTTCCCGTCGGTATACTGCTCGCAATTCCCATCGTCGTTCTCAAGGTCACGGGCCACCGAGACGACATCAACGTGGGAACTGCCACAGACGACAAAGGCGAAGCCAGACATGGCCCTACACTCTTCAACATCTTTCTATGGATCGAAATCACTTGGCTGACCCTGTGGGCCGCCAAGCTTGCCGCTCTTCTGCTTCCTCAGCTCTTCATGGCTCTCTGTGGCATCGTCAGCGCTGGCGTGCGCAAGTATGCCACCGTCCTCCGCAACATGGTGATTCCTTTTTCGCTCTTTTTCTGGGCCTTGGCTACCTGGCTCACCTTCAAGAACCTCTTCAGCGAAGCCATTAGTCCCAAAGAAATTCCGTGGTGCATCAGCCTGGAGCGTGTGCTCGGAGCCACTTTTGCCTCATCTGCTGTATTGCTCGCAGAAAAGGCCATTATCCAACTCATCGGTGTCTCTTACCACCAACGCTCCTTTGCCCTACGCATCAAAGAATCCAAGCGCGAAATTCGCCTCCTCGGACTCCTTTACGAGGCGTCACGCACGCTGTTCCCTATGTACTGCCGCGAGTTTTCCGAGGAGGACTATGTGATTGACGACAGCATTGAGATGATGCTGCGCAAAAAGGCAGGTCACAAGCGTCAAGGCTCTGCAACCCCCATGAGGCTCATTGGTGATGTTGGCCGTATCGGCGACAAGGTCACCTCCGTCTTTGGCAATCTCGCCTCTGAAATTACCGGCAAGCAGGTCTTCAACCCACACTCTTCCCACACGGTCGTCATCGAAGCTCTCGAAAAGAGACTGCCCTCGGAAGCTCTAGCCAGGCGCATCTGGATGTCCTTTGTCGTCGAAGGCAAAGAGGCATTGTACATTGAAGACTTTTATGAGGTCCTCGGCCCAGCTTACAGCACCGAGGCGGAAGAGGCTTTCGCTGTCTACGACTCTGACATGAACGGCGACATTAGTCTCGATGAGATGGTTCGCAAAACCGTAGAAATGGGTCAGGAGCGCAAGGCTATCGCTGAAGGCATGAAGGATATTGGTCAGGCTCTTCGTGTTCTTGATAAGGTTCTGCTGTTCATTGTCCTACTCATTGTCGTCTTCATCTTTCTTGCTTTTTTCAAAAGCAGCTTCGTCACTGTCGTCGGTACCGCCGGTACTGCTCTGCTCTCCCTCTCCTTCGTTTTCGCCGTCACTACCCAGGAATTCCTCGGCTCCTGCATCTTTCTCTTTGTCAAGCACCCGTACGATGTGGGCGATCGTGTCGATATCAATGGAAGCCAGATGGTCGTCGAGCGCATCTCTCTGCTCTATTCGGTTTTTAAGCGACTTGATAGGTCCCAAGTCACCCAGGTGCCCAACATTCAGCTCAACAACCTCTGGATTGACAACATCTCGCGCAGCAAGGCCATGACTGAGACCATCGAGCTCAACGTCTCCTATGACACCACGTTCGAAGACATCGAGCTGCTCCGCCTCGAGATGGAAAAGTTTGTCCGCCACGCCGACAATTCTCGCGACTTCTACCCCGACTTTTCCATTGGCATTGGTGGTGTCGGTAATCTCGACAAGATGGTTCTCTACATTTCAATTAAGCACAAGTCCAATTGGCACAACGACAAGGTCCGCGCCACTCGTCGCTCCAAATTTATGTGTGCTCTCGTCGTCGCCCTCAAAAAGATTCCTATCTACGCTCCTGGTGGCGGAAGCGAGGCTCTTGGTGGACCTGGTAACCCTAGCTACTCTGTCGCCGTCTCCGACGAGTTTGCTGCGGCTAGTCGCGACAAATACGCCAAGGACAAGGAGGCTGTTCGCATGGTACCTACCAACCAGGAACAGACGGAGAAAGAACATGCAGCCGCTGAGCAAGCCGCCATTTCGGAGCTCAACACCGTGCCTCTCGCCATCAACACGACGACTAGCATGTGGGACACTCGTGACCACAATCCTGTCAGCGCCGTTGACGAGTCTGTGGCCGGGGACGCGCGACGCTCTCGCGAGATTGAGGCGATGCGCTCTGAGCTCCATAAAAAAGAGAGCCAACGCGGTCGCCGCAAGGCCGGCGAGGGTCTAACGGGCGCCACAGGCTTGACCCCGACTGACAGCCAGTTCTCGCACCAGAAGAGCCCGCGTCTGGAAACCTTTGATGAAGAGTCCACGACGGACATGCCCTCGACGTTTTATGACCGCAACCACCCCAGCGGGACCGCAGGCGCCAGCGGCCACAGCCATGGAGGGTTCCAGAATGTGCGCATCCAGGATGAGGAGGAACCGCGTCGCTCTACCTCACTCAACGTGCGCAGCCACCCTGTCGGTCGTCGGCCCTCGCGCGGCCCGTCGTCGCCTTCGAACCTTCGGTGAGGAGGCGTAATCGGGTCATTGACGAACATTGCTGCCTATGTTGCTAGTGTCGCTCACTAGCTACGCTTATTAATTGTTATATAGCATCGCGCGTGTACTAATTTTCTGATGTTGCCAGCCATTATGGTAAATGGATAGGCTTATAGATATGAATTTGGACAGAATTCCAAATACATTGCATTGAATGATGATATTGAATGCGCAAAACGTGGCCAGTGAATGTTTAAATCGAGAGTGGGCCAAGACCCCCGCACCAGTCCTTAATTACTTCGGAGCGATGATCTTTGGGCATTGTGCATTGTTCCCTTTGCAACAAACCTGAATCAAGAGCTCAATCCATCTTTAAAATAAAATGCCTAGCACAGATTCCCTTCGTGAGTCGCGCCCCCTGTCTTTTCTCTCCTTTAGCCGCGTTTGACTGCTAACCATTACGGGTCAACACGATCCGCGCCAGAACCGCCCCTCACGCCGACGGAGCGCGCCATCTGCAAGTCATACGGCGGGTGGACCAACTTCATGGCGTCCATGGGTCTCAAGCCGTGGGACCAGGAGGACGCGGACGAGGGCAAGGCGATAATCGCGGCGTTTGCGCACGATAAAGAGGAGGAGGACAAGGCCAAGCAGAACAAGTAGCGGCAGAGCATGTATACGTGAAAAAAGAAAATGACGCAATGCAGTTCTACCAGGGCTTGAAGATGAGCCTATCCGATACAATCTTCCAAGTGTCACTAGTGGTCTGACAAACGCCAGTACGAGGCCATGTCCTATGCTTGGGGGAGATCCAGATCTCAAAGTCTATATACCGGTGCATGAGTCGTCTGGGTTGACGCGTATGATAACGAGTCTCTGTCGCTATAGATGCGATATGCATCTTGCTAATTAGGCAAACGGCCATCATAGCACAAATCAGTCTGGTTTCCCGGAGCGCAGCGCGCAACTCAGTCAGGCAGTTGCGTCGATTCTCTGAATCGCAATCTATGTCTTAATATGGCTCGGGCCCGACGACGAGACCGGGCAAGCGGCTCTTGTCGTCCACCGTGTGCTAGACTGTATATGCCGGCAGCCAGCTCGGCCTTTCTCGCATCCGTGGAATAATTCCATCACACCTGTGCTTTTTTTTTTTTTTCGGGAAACCGGCACCGCCTGACTCTGCCGCGTAAATGGGACTTTGTCAACATCCGACGTGTGAAACGGAAGAGCACGTCGTTTGCGTGGGACACGGTCGAGTCCAGCCTTTTTCTCCTGCACCGCAATGACTTTTGAATATTATGCAAATGACTATGGCCTACTTGGGCCACGGCCAGCCCAGCCAAGGTACACAGAAAGCCCAGGGCACGCGCCCCTTGCAATCACATTTTCTACAACCAAACGCGCCATCAATGAACACTTTTACAACGCCGCCAACAAGCACTGCCGACAGTGCTGCTATTAGCGCTGCTGAGGGGCCCGCTGAGGGGGGGGGCACTGAAGCCGCCGCCAGAGATGCGCTGCTAGAGATGCAGTTGATGTGCTGACGAGAGTGATGGCAACAGTTTGTGGAATTCGTATGGACTCTTCTTTTGGAGCTCCCTTGGAGTAAATCCGCTCTGGATAGCTGAAGAGAACGCTAGTTTTCACTAGGCTTAGTTGAATGCAAAAATTCAGAATTCGAGTGCAGCTGAGTCTAGCTCGCAGCAGTTCTCAGTCTTTGCCCCGCGTCAGCCCGCTAGCGACTCCACATATAGGGCTGAGGGGGCGAAGGCAGCAAACGCAATGACGAACCCTTCCCCGAGCTTCCTTCCTCTCGCATCTATAAACTCAACAGCCCGCCCCCTCGTTTCCATCGAGTATTCGTCTCTACCGACACTTGCTGAACGAATCTTTTGTTGCGAAAACGCTTTTCCTATCTTGATACCCCAGTGCGCTTGCCAAACCTTTCAGAAATACCCCTCATTCTTCAATTCTACCCCGCGCCATAGCAATCGCCATTCGCCACTTACCATGTCGGCACTCAGCACGACAGCTATCCTCGAGGGCATGGCCAAGGCCCTGCCCACACACACTCAGGGCGACGACTCGTCGGACCTGGCCAGCTCCTACGAGGTCATCGGTCTGCTCGTCCACTCGTACCTCACAGCGCTGGGCTTTACGCTCGTCGGCTTTCAAGAAGACAGACCGCTAGGTATGCTCACCTGCCATCAGCACCCACCATTCTAGACTACCAACTGACACCAAACCTTGCACAGCCGAGTGCCAGTCGCTCGCTCCTCGTCTCCCCGCCTCATGGAATGCCGGATTCGGCTCCCTCGGCTTCGTCTACACCCACGACCAGCAGCAGCAATCCGATAAGACGACGTACGTCTTTCGCATCGACAAGATGGGCGCCAAAGTCGAGATTCGTGGCACAGTCTCCTCTTCCTCCGATAGCAACACCATCCATCGCTTCGACGTCGCCGCCCGCGACATTGTCCAGTCTGGCAACCTGCCCGTGCGCATCGCACTCGACGTCGACGGCAAGGACACTAGCGACCGCCAGGATCTTGTCGCGAAATTGCATCGCGTCTTTGTGTCCACCACCGTCGTCGCCGCGCTCCTCCAAGAGGTCCGCACCAAGATTGTGCAGCCGCTACTCGGCGCCGGCGCCGCTACCGCGCAGGTTGAAGATCGCGCCGACGAGGCCAGCGAAGAGCGGCGACTGCGCGAGGAGCGCTTGCAGCAGGAGATGCAGGATCCGAACCGGCCTGTTGGTGGCAACTTGCCGCCATCCACCGCAGACATACCCGTCCCGCGACCCGGTGCGCTGCCCGAATCAGCGCGTCTCGGACCCAACGCGCCTAGCGACGAGTTTCTGCCCCCCGGCTTCGAAGACGAGTACGACATCAACCGCCCTCACACCGGTATCACGGGCGGCGGCCTCACCATACCCGGTAGCGGCCGCTCCCCGTTTAGCATTGGTCATGACGACCTGCACCCGCCGGGCCTCGGGCCCCACGACCCCCTCCGCGGATCCGGCCTGCCCAGCGGCCTGGGCGGCGGCGGCTTTGGTGGCGGCAGCGGGGGCTTTGGTAGTGGAGGCGGTGGCATGCACCCGACCTTTGACGATCCCCTCTTTGCCGGCCAAGGAGGTCGGACCGGACCCGGCAGGGGCAGCGGTGGCGAGTTTGACCCCCAGGTGCCGCCCGGCGCAAGGTATGATCCTCTCGGCCCCGGTGGCGGCCCTCGTTTCCCCGGTCCGGGTAGTGGCCAAGGCGGTCATCCGTTTGGAGGCGGTGGTGGTATCATTTGAAACAAGGCAGGATAAGGCACAAGAAAAAACTGATGACGCTGTACGAGTATGACTTTCAAAACGCCCAGAGGGAAAGAGTCTCCTTTATGATCACAACGAATACGACTGGTTAATAGCACGCAAGCCACGCATAGTTCGACTGATCAACCCGAATTCAATAACAAGATGTAAATTATACTTTTATTCCAGTCTACTAATAGGTGCTCTATTGCTCGCATCGTTGTCAAGTCAGCACGTCCATGCCATAATGACACGGGATATTATTCGAAAAACCGAACGTTCTTCCCTTATGTATACGTTTCTCATGCCAGTCCATAGCTATGCCGTCAATCACTGTGCTTTCTCGTGTTGGCACTTCACACATCATATCACGACGTACATATCTCTTGAACCTGGTGCGCATTGGCTTGTACTTGTACAAGCCGCGTTGCAAGTGGCTCGGGGCTCTTGTCACCGCAGCAGCGGAGTCAGTTTTCCGGCACCCATTCTAGTGTGCCGCCGAGCTAGCCAGCTCGTTCAGCTTTTGCTGTTCCTCCTCCTCGAGTTTGGTATACCATTGTTGGAATTGGCCAATGTTCTCGTTGTGGGCACGGACAAAGAAGTCGCTGAGGTAAGCCTGGGTCTCGTCATCACGCTGGCGCTGACTACCGTTCTCCATAAACGACATCAAATCGTCCTTGACGGAGTTGAGGGTCAAATCAAGAGTTTCATCGTCTTCCCATCCGTCTTCGCCATCGTCTTCATCAAACTGGGCAGTGTTGGCCACGGCTGCCGAGGCGATGTTGGCCCCGGAGCGGGCTCCAGAGGCAGACAAGAGCTCCTCAATCAGAACCTTGATAATTTTGAGCTGGGCAGGGACAACAGAATATTTGTCAGGGTCTAGGTATAGAGGTTAGTGGCCACTCAAGAGTGCATAGCTCAATGCCAACGTACTTTGCTTGGCGCGCGAGCGTGTCTTAATCATCCCGTCATCCTCTGCAATCAAGTCACCCTTGACAGGAATCTCTGCCAAACGGGGATCATTCAACGCAAAAAGCTTTGAAAGAGCAATGACGCTAAAGTTGTTTGTCAGAAATTGCAGCGACCTGCAGTTCGAAACAATGACTTACTTTTGACGGATCTCATCGTAGCCAGCAAAGCTGACGGAGTTCTCTAACCACCTCGACATGACAACTTGTAGACCACTCTCGTCCGCATTGATCTGAATCTGGCTCAGGAATTCAACAACATCTTGGGCTCCATTCAAAGAGAGACGTGCAAAAACAAGGATCAGAGATTGGATCATGGCAGCAGCCTCAGCAACGGCCAAGCGGTTGGCGACAGCCTGTAATAACTGCGGAAGGTAGGGTCCCAGACGCTCATGGCCAGCCTTTTCCACAAGTTCGGCCGCGAGACCGCCAACTTCAGACGCAGAGTTGTCTTCAATGGTGGGACCAAGTAGCCGATCGACGATGTGGAGGCAGACCTCGATACCGGATCGACCACTAGCATCATGCCAGCTTAGAACTTGTTGGTGGTCATGCGCAAGCAGAAACTTGACAGTTCGAGATCCGGATCGAAGGATGTCACCCTCGTTAGACTGCATCAGCAAAGTGCTGAGCTTGGGCAGTGTAGCAGCAACGAAGCCCGCTGGAAGCGGGCTTGGGGCGTTCTCAGCCACAACAGCGAGCAGTTCGGTTGCAATGGAGACGAGAGGGCTGTCGGCGGTGACGTCACCAACATTGAGTGCTGCAGTCAAAGTTGGAATCACAATGGCAGAGAGGCGCGAGAAGGATTCGGGATCAGATAGGCTAATGACAAGCTCTTCAAAGGCCTCGGTCACGAGAATCGACACCTGGAAGTTACTTGATCCGAGCTTAGCAAGCATAAAAAGAAGATCCACTGCTCCGACTTCGGTAGAAAGGGCAATGTGATGGTTCAGGCTGATGGCAGCACGAACGGCACCAGTCAGTGTCACGAGCAATTCATCGGCCTCTTCCATCTCTTCAGGGTCCCTGCCATTCATGTATGTCCGAACGGCATTAAGAATAGATAGTTGGCGGTCGTTGGGTACCTTTCCCGCGTCAACGAGGTCATTGATTGCCTTTACGCAAGCAACCTTGACGACCTCCGATTCCTCATCGTTGATAGAGTTGATAATTCGGTCGAGAAGAACGGCAGGAGGATTGTAAGAGCGGCCGAGAATTCCAGCGACCAGGTAGCCACGAGCACGAAGAAGGGGCTCTTCAGCTCGGTTGATGGCATAGTCGACCAGCTCGAGATAAGCATGAGCTACGACCTCAGGAATATCTTTGTTAACGTCCTGAAAGTCTCCAGCGAGCATGACAAAAAGATAGAGGGCAGCTTCCTGGTCCCTCCAACCTCGGCCAGGGAAGAGGTCCTTTGTGTAGCCGAAAAGTCCGTCAATGGTCTTTTCATTGAACCATTCTCCCATCTTGATCAGGAGATCCCCGGCCGCAGTTCGAGCTGTGTAGTTGGCCGTGACCGACGTCTCTTCTGCCAGGTAGAGAGAGCAATCAATATCCCACAATTCCTCTTCCTCGCGAAGAACACGTGAGTAGCCCACGAGGAGCTTCATGATATCCATCATCCAAGGTACCTGATGGGCATTAGCATAAAGCTTGAGTTGTCCATCGAGCTCTGCTTGAACGGGAGGAGCACGGAAGCACTGATTCAAGAAGTCGAGCTCTTCGAGAACCAAGAAGTCCAGAGTGTAAGGAAGGTTGTCAATATCCTCGAGACGGCCTTGGGCATCATTATCGATGTAGAGCTGTTCGAAGCTGGGCAGCAAGCTGATGAGTTCATCCCAGACAGCCGTGAAGAGAGTGGCACTCTGAGGAAGCAAAAGGTTTGGGAAGACTCGACGGATCCGGAGCAGTGTCTTGACGACCTGAAGCTTGAGGGAAATGATACTATTCCACTCGGCGGGTTGAGCCCCAGCGCTCGTGCTAGCTTCGGGAAGACGGCTGCTGAGAACCTTGAGGAAGAATGGATTCCAGTCTTTGAGAAGTTCTTCGGCAAATGCAGTAACTTCAGCGGCATGATCTTCCTTTACCATGTTCATCAAGTCGAAGCAGCCACGGAAAACGGAAATGGCTAGAGATCTTATGAGAGGCTTGCGCTCTTCGCCAATGGCAATTTGACTGAGAGTGCTAGCAATGTCTCTTGCCATTGTAAAGAATTGGTCCTCACTCAAGCTCTCTTCGACGAGGTCGCCGAGCACGCGAAGTGCGCCATGTAGTTGAGAGTCGTTACCATTGGGGATGACGGCCAGAACGGTGGGAAGGAGCGAAGGCCACTCTTCGGGAAAGTCGTGAATCGCAATTTTTCCGACGGCGTAACTGTGGACAAGGTTCAGCGTTAGTATCTTGGGAAAAGAAGGCTAGAAGGTGGCCCAGACTGGCTCCGTGACGTACCTAGCAGCAATCTTGACTTTGCGATCGTCTTCACCGCTAAGGGCCAGGTCCAGGAGAGACTGGCGAACTAGCTGTCTGGTATCATCGGTGATGGGAATCGGGGGCTCGGCGTTAGGATCATCATTCGACCAGTTGTTCTCGATAAAAAGCCGCAGTGTGCTGAGGGCGAGCTGGCGAGTGGCAACGTCGACGGAGGTGTGGGAGGCAATCTTAGCCAGAGCCACAGAATAAGCTGGATTCGTCTGTGCCCTTTTGAGCTCAATCTCGGCATTGATACGCTGCGTCTGATCGGCCTGGGCGGTGGCCGCAAGCAGCTGAAGCAGTTGTTCCTCCATGGCTGATGTTGACAGGCCGCAGGGTGTCGGGCGGGGTGAGATGCAGTAATGAAAAAAAGACTAGAGAGAAAATGGAGGGGTATTTATGACATGCGAAACAAGTATATGGTGCTCGCTCGGGGAGTACGAGGCTTTGCAGGCGTTGGCGGAAAGATGCAAAATCGAAAGAAACAGATAACCCCGTTGTCTGATGCTGAATAGCTTGCTAGTCGCTGGGATATGGCAGCATGAAGAGGATGAGTCGAGAAAAAAAAAGCGGGCATGTTTTTGTGTCGACGTGCGGATGGGCGGTGATGGAGAAGGAGGCGCAAAGCTACAGGGCAACAGGGCAACGGAGCAGGAGCAACAGGAACAACAAGAGAAGGGTTTGGCGGGGCAAGAGAACTTTAGCGCAGTTGCCAGCTGCCAGCTCTTGTGCTGTGCAAACGCCTCATCTCATTCCACCAATTCGCAAGGCTGAGACACGTTACTGGACAGGCTCTAATAATAGCCAGGAGTGTCTTTGTACATTTGCAAACAAAAAATTAGCGTTTCTGTGAGACTGAGTATTAGTTTTATGAGCTTCGAAAATGTGTCGTGGTATCTACGTGTGATGAACTGCGTCTGATTGAACCCGAATGAGGAGTCTTGAGTGAGAGTCTACCTGCAAAGAAGGATGCGAATCCATATGCTCAAAATTGAGTAACAATAAGAACCAGTGTCTCGTACATGGCAAAAAATGCTACAAGATGTACGGAGTAGTCTTAGTTCAGTGTCGAAGCTACCTACCACCTATCGCACATCTAACATTACCTCACCAGCTGCCGCCAATAACATGCAATGCCACACAGCCCGGCCGTGTGGGGGACACATTAAACCGGCCCTTCTGAGAAAGCACCTCGTTTCTAACCTGTTATTTTTCTAGATATAGACTATTTAAATAAATAGAAAAAAAAAGTATAATAAGTGTGAAAATGATTAAATATATAACTTATATTCTTAAAAATATTATATTACTTGCTCTCGCGTGTATTCATCATTAATAAAACAGTATCGAGAATCTACGAGGGCCGGTTTTTTTTGTCCCCCCCTTGCCGGCCAACTCCGGGAAGCATGACGGCAGCGTTTGCCCAGATATTTGCTCTCTTCCTTCTCCCACTCTCCATTGGCGCGCCAGCAAATGATCAGCCAAGAAGATGTTGCCTCTTTATTTAATACTGCATGTACCCCGCGTTTCCTAGCAAAGGCCACGCCCGCCCGCCCATTTCACTCTACAACGCGCAATGACCACCGCAGACCCATCCCGGTCAATTGCTCGATTCTATCGAGTAATAAAAAATCGAGCCAAGACCCCCAAGATGACAGCGCTCGCCCTCGGCGATTTCATGGCCATCATGCAAACATGACATGTGATGCATAAAAACAAGCATCAGCTACTTCTCTCTGCAGAATCAGCTTAATAATGAGCCACACGGCAATGGTTCGGATTTTGTTTCCTCATTCATGCGTGCCAAAGTTTAAACCAAACCGATAGCGGCGCTGCTGCTGTTTAATTTTCAGGTTCACTTATCGCTCTGCCAGTGCGCACAATCTTGCTTATCATAAACCTTGCCAAATTGCCAAGACTACGCAGAAAAATGCGGGGGAGATAAATCGCATCCTTCCCATCAAGGGCTCGGGTCTTGGCTTCACCACGTCCCGTATTCCGACGTCGGGCCATGCACACACTTGCAACTCCAAAGCCTTTACTATAATCAGCCATTACTGTGCCCATTCCGCAACGAATTGATTGACAGTTGTCCCGCTTCTCGCACCTCTTCTTAGTCGTTCAATCCATCCGTATCACCTATTACTTTGACAATCCACTGAATCGGCCGACTCATGTGACGCCCGCTACCAACAAGGCCATGCCGAACCAGTATCTGGCTTGCCACCCCCCGGCCCCCCCCCCTCTCCTCCCTCCAAAAATCCCAAAATCTCGCCCTCTCAATTGCTTCCACGTCCTGATCCCTGGAGGTGCTGCCAATTGGAGTTCCCCGACCTGCACTAGTTTGATTTCAACACGACGCCATTCAGCCCAGTGGCTGACGAAAAGCCTCCTTCGGACCTGGCCGTCCCCAAGCCTGCCGATCGGCCTGTCGCATTGCCTCTCCAAATCAAAGCGTCCATTCCACGTCTCCGTCCTTGATAAGTGTGTAGATAAATAGTCCGGGCTGGCCCGCTCCCTCTACTCTAGTCTCGGCCTATCGCCTATCGTCCACCAAGATAGCCCAGCACTCTCTTCTTCACACAATGGAAGCTTCCCACTGCTGGCTCCAGAATAAATCAGTCTAGTTCTCCAACTATCTTGCGCGACAACCCCAATTCTTCCTCATCCCCTTTATATATATATATCAGCGAGTTGCCATCAAGTTGCCACCCATTCTTACCAAATTCCATTTGCTACTCTCTTTCTCATCTTGCAGTTCGCCACCATGTCACTTATGGGGCATGTCAAGTATTGGGCAGACAAGCTGGCCGTTGAGACGGAGCCTGGGCTGACCTCGGCCCAGCTCATGGTGCGGATGCCCTCCACGCGTGAACCAAGGCATTCGATTCGATGCATTCGCTAACCCATCACCGATTCGCTCCTCACACAACAGCTCTACAATCCTGATCTGAAACCGGTCGAGAAAGAGCGACGAGTATGGGGCGGCTGGAACTATGTCGGTTTCTGGATCGCTGACAGTGTCAACATTGGCACATGGATGATCTCCTCGTCCATGATTGCCGGTGGCCTGTCCTGGTGGCAGGCTTGGCTCTGTGTCTGGGTGGGCTATGCCATTTCTGCCGTCTTTATTGTCATCAGCGGCCGAATTGGTGCCATCTACCATCTCAGCTTCCCTGCTCTAAGCCGCGCCTCCTTTGGTGTTTGGGGCAGTTCCTGGCCGGTATTCAATCGCGCCGCAATGTGTAAGTTACCTCCCGGCTACTTTTACTTGAACCAGGTAGGCTAACTTCATTCAGCGTGTGTTTGGTACGGTGTTGTTGCGTACATCGGTGGCCAATGTGTATACGTCATGATTCGTTCCATCTGGAAGTCATGGGATGCCACCGAGATGCCTGGTTCGTTTGGTACCTCGGCGACGAACACCCCCGAGTACGTCTCGTTCATCATATTCTGGTTGCTGTCTCTGCCTGCCCTCTGGTTCCCGGTGCACAAACTTCGCCACTTGTTCACAGCCAAAGCAATTATTGCCCCAGCCGGCGCCACTGCTTTCCTCATCTGGACACTCGTTCGTGCCAAGGGAGCCGGTCCCATCATCAAACAGCCCTCCAGCCTTCAAGGCACTGATCTGGCTTGGGAGATCATCAAGGGCATCATGTCGTCTATTGGCAATTTCGCCACACTCATTGCCAATGCAAGTGATTTTACCCGCTTTGCGCGCAAGCCTGCCCACGCCGCTTGGCCGCAGCTAGTCATTATTCCGACTTCATTCGCCATTACTTCCCTCTACGGCATCCTAGTGTCTTCCTCATCTGCGGTCATCTACGGAGAATACGTTTGGAATCCTGTCCTTCTTCTCGGCAAGTTCATCGACCACGGCAGCTCTGCAGATCGATTCGGCGTCTTCGTGATTGCCTTTACACTAGCATTCGCGCAACTGGGTACCAACATTTCCGCCAATTCAGTTTCCACGGGTACTAGTCTGGCAGCTCTCATTCCCCGCTACATTAGCATCCGACGCGGTAGCTATATTTGTGCCATTGTTGGTCTTGCTATGTGCCCGTACAATTTTGTCGGCTCGTCAAGCAAATTTACTACTTACCTGTCAGCATATAGCGTGTTCCTCAGCTCAATCACTGGTGTTATTGTGGCAGACTATTACTTTGTGCGCAAGGGTTTTATCTGCGTCAACGACCTATATAATGCACGAAGAACAGGCCCATACTACTACACCTATGGTGTCAACTGGCGTGCTTACACTGCATACATATGCGGCATCCTCATCAACGTGGTGGGCTTTGCTGGTGAGGTCGGTGCCACGGTGCCCAAGGGCGCATCGTACATCTTTCAAATCAATTTCTTCACCGGCTTTGCTGTTTCCGTTGGCATCTACTACGCGCTTTGCAAGTTGTTCCCCGTGCCTGCGACAAGCAAGGTTTGGTTGGAAGTTGGGGTCGAGGATGAGGACTTTCGACCCCAATATCAAGACGAGAAGGTGCCGGACGAAGAAACGGAGATTCGTGTTTCGGAGCTGGTGTCGAAAAATTCTAGATTAACGGCCTGAAGTTACTTACCGAACAGGCGAGGCAATCAAGTGCTGCCAGGCGATGACAATGGTTCATGAATGATGATAAGACATAACAGATTCTATAGCGTTTCAAACGCAGGTCTTTTCAATAATTCGAGTTCTTGTAGTGTTGGGTATCTCGGTCGCTTCGATATTTCGCTGGCATTCTTCGAAAGCTTGACGACCAGATAACAGAAGGCATCGGAGAGGGGGGAAAGAACTGCAATGAGGGGGCCTGATCACCCCACACCCCATTGCTTTGGAGAATTTGATGCCGCTGTTAAAGAGACGGCTATGGGGAATTGTAGGAGATAAGGAGGCCGAAAAGCAAAAAAAGAATGCCCAGTATGAGAATCGAACTCATGATCTTCTCATTTCACCGTATTAATACTAGTGAGACGCTATACCACTTAGCCAACCGGGCTTCTGTGATGGATGTGAATCGGCGGCGTTATTTGAGATTATGTGGCCCCCTCAGGGCTTAGCCACCATCAAGACGCAGAATGCATCTTGCTAAGTGGGCCGCGCAATTCAACAATTCGGCAACGGATAGTTTGCGGGATAGGCAACTGGCGCCGAGACTTTTGCTGACAAAAGACATGACGGGCGTCCGAGCACCAGCCGATTGAGGCGCGCTGTCGCAGACAGCTTGGCTGTGAAGGGCCGGTTGTGGTACAGATTGTCGACATACAATTTCGAGTACTGTACGCGCATGTCTTAGAGTTGCTCATGCAAGGGTATTAATAGAGTGCGGGTGGCGATTGCGTCGACGGACATGGTTCTGCAGGTAGCTTTCCGCAGCTTCGGGCACGGATGCGCGATGCCGGCTTGTTGGTCACGAGCAAGTTGCCTCACTTTATGTCCTATCTGCCGCCGCATTGTCGATAGCTGGGAGCCTTTGCTATCGCGAGGAACAATTCAGTTGGGTGTTGGCGCGCCAGTACACGGTTAATTTCCTCTTTCGGAGACGGTGTGGCCTCTGGATGGATCATCCCAGCCAGGACAAGCTTTTGGGCCAGTTCGGGGTCCAATTAGCCTGCAGGTCCCACCATAGGTTGTGCACCCTCAAAGTTGGCTTTTGGTAACGAGCTGAAGACGAAGAAGCGGCGGGCTTTCAGGCCTGTGTACATAATATTGAAATGGACAAGTCAGCAGGTGCTAAGTGGGGGATGGGACAGACCGACCTAGAACTTCGGGGCAAACACGTTCGTGGAGCCTGCGCGACGCGACAATATGCGGGATGGACGGAGGGTCAACGCACAGAACGGAGCAGTTAATAACGAAGTAAATTTGCGGGAGACGGGTTATTAGTGTGTGGACGTCTCGAAGGCAAGAAATAGGGAGAATGGGGGAGACAATTGGAAGGGGGAGAAAACCGTACTGGGAGTTGTGGGAGTTGCAAGAACAACCTTTTTCCCCCTCTGTTTGTCGTATCGCCGGCTCTCACCATCCCCTCTCCGAACCGCAGCTTGCCACCTGGCAGCCGCACGCCACCTGGTGCCTGTTTGATTTGTCGCCAGCAGCCCAGCTCGAGCTAATTACCAAGTTAAAATTATTATCTTATTACCACTTGGTGCCGAATTTCAACCTTACCTTTCTAAACTCTTCTTCCCACGAACCCGTTGGACTTTGTGGCTCCGGACGCGCTACCAAGTGGCACCGGCCCTACTACCCTTCACATCCATCATCACCCAGGTTCCGGTTCGGGTCGTCACGTTCTTGCTCCTTTCATCGACGCAACCCTGACGCAACCGAATGCTGTCATCCGCTGCATCGCGGACCATCGAGACAAGGCAGACACCACCGACCTGTTGAAGCTGCCAGCCATGCTGTTGATGCACTGTTGATGCACTGTTGAGCGCCTTCAACCAGCAACCGCAGCGGCCTCTTGCGAAGGTCCTTGTGCTCTCCGCCACGACCGGCAAGGCCAGCCTCAACCCCCGCCCGACAAATCCCCCTGAGCCCTCTGGTACAGCTGCTCCAAACGCGCCACGTCTCCGAGAGGCGGTGAATACCCCTGGTCTATGCCGCAAAACAAGCCCTGCCACAACTGTCGTCGCCGTCGTCTACGCTGTGACCGTTCGTGGCCAACATGCAACAAATGCGCTACTACCGGGCAGGAATGCCTTGGGTACGGCAAGGTCTATGTGTGGACAGAAGGTATCGACGCTCAGGGCAAGGTGAAGCCATCGCCAGGAGTGAGGCGGGCGGCCCATGGCGAAAACCATGGTGTTGCGGGGCACCCTAGCCTGGTCCTCCACAGTGGTCCACCACCGTTGCCGCCTCCGGCCATGGGCACGATTTCAGACCGCCATCACCCTGTAGGCACGAGCAAAAGTCCCCGGAATCCTACCGACACTGCTGTGCCGACTCTTCCGCAGTACAGTCCTCAGCAGAAGATGGGAGGTCATGCCACATATCTGGTGCCGAGTCAATTGACTGACCCCGTCTATCAAGATCTGGACCCGACCTCGAGGATCTATCTTGCTCACTGTGAGTTGTTGTCATCGGCTACTTTCGACTAACATCAATAACACCGCGAATAGTTGCCAACAGAGTCTGCCAGGATCTAGTTGCTCGCGACGAACTCGGAACCAATCCTTTTCGAGAGCTCATTCCACTTACTCGGAGACATCCTTTGCTTCTGAATATAATCATTGCTACATCAGCCCTGCACTTGGCCAACAGCCTCAGTCCAAAAACATCTCTCTCAGCTGCTATATCCGACCCCGGCGGCTACTTGGCCCAATTGCGCTCCAAGGATCTAGTGTCTCAAAATGCCGTGATTCATGCTTTGACGGCCAAACAGAATGCCTTCTACCATCTCAAGAAAGTCCTAGAGACACTAGACCCTGCAGGGAGCGAAGTAACGTTAGCAGCCATGCACTTTTTTGTCAAGTTTGACTTGATCGATCTGGAACGAGGAGAAAATCAGAGCTGGAAGAAGCATCTGAAGGGCGCCAGCGATGTGCTGGCTCTCTTGACAGCGGCAGAGCCGCGGGATGTTACTAATCTCAAGCTTCGGGACTGTGTTGTGGCAGATTGCTTCATGTAAGTCATAATCTCTAAAGTCTTTGGTAGATATTTCTTCTGACCAGGCAGCTACCATATTTTGGGCTCAACACTGACCTCTGGGCCTTGGGCGGCTCAAATTACCCATTACGCCTTTGAGCTTCTACCAGTCTTGAAGAGGACAGAGGTTAACAGTTACTTATCTTGCCCCTCGGAAATCTTGCAGATTATCTTGAAAGCCTCACAGCTTTCTTATGAGACGCCATGTACAGACTGGAATCTCGCGGCCGTGGACCAGGCGCTCATGCTTATTCGCGAAGTATCCGGTTTCAACATTCCGGCATGGGCGACACAACTTCAGCAAGCATCAAACGTGAAGGACGTTGAAAGCCGCATACATGTGGCGTCGGCCCATCGCTCTGCTGTCTGCCTTTACATTTTCCAAGCACTGCCGCTAGCTCGTGCGGTGCAAGTCGTGGATACGCAGGCTCTAGTCGATGATATCTTGCATCACTTGTCGCAGATTGGCAAAGCCGATCCGTACTTCAAAGCATCGTCTTGGCCGACTTTTATCGCAGGCGCTGAATCGCGAGATGCAGAGAAACGAGTGTGGACACTGACGCGGCTGATGGAGATTTGGGAAGTATGCCCTTGGGGTTACGTATTCACCGCGATTGAGATGCTCAAGGCCACGTGGCAGATGCAGGATACACGGCCAGAGGATGAGAATGTCAATTGGCTGCAAGCGCTGAAGGCTATGAAATTCCAGGGCTTGATTGTATAGCGCAGACTAAACTGGTGGACGGAGGCGTTTTGCTACTTTTTTCCCTCAATATGTTGTGGTCTTGTTTTGCTTGTCTTGAACATGGAGTTTGGCTGCTCCATCATGGAAAGAGATGTGTGGATGTGATGGGGCAAAACCGGGTAGACGGATGGAGTTAAAGTGCTTCAACGTGTAGTACCATTATCTAGCATATATGAGAATGTAATATTAGTTTCTTCACTCTGGATTATTCGTCCATTGCCTTGTGAGTACTGACGTATGCCGATGAATCGAGCTGTTTGCAGTCAGGGCTAGTTAGTCTGGGTGCGGCACTCGCCCGCCAACGGGAAAGGGGAAACGCATGCGACTGCGAGACGTGTTTCATGCATATTTTTGTTTTTCCTTGAGGCAGCAGAATCCGAGACTGTGGCTGGGAATAAGGTGACCTCTCCAGCTTCAGCCAGGGCAGCTTTATGCGGCGGCACTGTTACGTTGACCGGCAGCTGCTCGCTTGGGTGTTATCAGTATTAGTCTGTTTTACATAGCTGCAAGATTTCCGGGAAGTCCAATGTATGGGGCTGGCCGACCGCACGGAGCTGGCAGCACAACAATTTCTCATGTCACCACCACGCGGAGGTTGCAACCTCCCCAGATGTCAAATCTCGATGATGTCCATGCTATGGAAATTCAATCCATGCGCTTTGCCTTGTCCAAAATCAAAAGCCGATCACCGCTCCCTAACTACATATGTATATCATAAAAGCGGAGAAGGCCCCCCCCCCACCCCCTTGTTCGGCTCCTGGCGCGGGAACAAAAAGGCGGAAACGGAAGCGCGACAAGTTGGCGTTTCACGCCTGTCGTTTGCGCCTCCTCGTCGATGGTTCGCCGAAGGGGGGAAAATCCATGCCTCGTACAAACGCATAAGGCATGATCTTTTTTTTTCCTTTGGCAGCAAGATTGGTTCATGGCTGTGCATCATTGCCGGGGTCGTTGTGTTTGGCGGGCTCCCACCAAAGGCCAGCGCAATGGGTGCTGTTTGGGAGGTAGGTAGGTAGGTAGGTAGGTAGGTAGGTAGGTAGGTAGGTAGGTAGGTAGGAAAGACTTGCTGATGGCGACACTAGAGCAAATGCTGGCCGTCTAAGATTTGGATAGAACAATTTTCTGTTTTTCAGTTAGTGACAATGGTTGAAAACTGGTTTGGAGAGCTCGTGCACAGGATCATCGTGAATGTTGGTGCTACGGCCTAACTACCTGTAGGTATGTAACTTGCGTGTAACCCTCTTCGAAGAGATGCAGCAACACTAACAAGGGAGGCCTCGACACTGCCCTGCAGCTAGCAATTGAAACCACCCTCTGATTCTGACATCATCTTTGATGATCTTGACTTTGGAGCATATCACTTTGCACAATTGATTAATTTTCGAAAACATATGATGCATCGCCTACTCCTTCATTTTCTCACATCTCCTCCATTTAACCTTCACTCAATCCGTGTAATCTAACATAGAGGTCAAATAACTGCGAGAACCAATGCCAACTGCAATAAAACACGTATAGTAGACATCGCTAGTATCTTTTCTCCGGTTCTCCCGCTCTTCTTTGTTTCTGTTCTCTATTTTAGTATCAGCAAGCCCCTAGTGCAGGTTTCATCACCGCCTTCAAACCGAACTTTGGCGGGAACAGCCTCCTTGTCCCGCCACTTCCAGCTTCAGTGTGCCTAGCTACAAGGCAATCGTGAACCACTTTCCGTTCCGCATGGATACGAGCAGCAAATCACCCTCCACTACCCCATGCAAACCTCCGTTTAATACCTCCGCTGTTACACTACCCCAGAGAGTTCGGCGTCGATGGTATCCGTCGAGGACCCCGTCATGCCTAACGCATCCCTAGCGCCCACATCACTGCCCATCACCTGCCAGATCATTACTCTAGTTTCAGGGCCATGATTTCCAACATGCGGATTCCGCGGTTCAAACACATGCCCTGTCTGCCTTGCCTGCCTCAAGGAAACCTCGGTGAAGGTTCCTTGTCGAAGAGCATCATGGTTCCGGGTTCCCCGTCTACATCTCGAAACGCCCTGCATTGTCGCCACCATTCCGGCAGAGAGAACACTCTCTATACGAGTATTTTTCCAGCAAGAAACTTTCCGACAAAACATCCACCATCGAAACTCGTCACAGAAATTCATCCCTTTGGTGTTGTATCTGCGACGGTGACCACCTGTCAAGGGCCTCCAAGGCGCCGCTGTCGTCTCGCCATCGCTGTCGTCTCGCCATCGCTGTCGTCTCGCATCCGCTGTCGTCTCGCATGCTCGGAGATGCTTGCCGCCTTGGCCTTCGACATGTTTTGCTTGACCGCGCATCAGTTCGAGTCTCCCAGAGTCTATCTCTATATAAAACAATGACTCTTTCCCATCCCGAGACTCTTTCCTGCTCATTCAGTCTCAAGCTCACAGCCTTTTCTTTCTTTTCCCATCTTATACATAATCTAATAGCCCTGGTGGCTCTGGTATCTCTGTCTTTATATTATAATCTTTTCTGGCCACCTTCCTCTCTTTGAACCACCCAATATCGTTTCTTCTGCTTTCAAAATGCGCTACGCTTTTGCTTACGCTGCCCTCGTCTCCACGGCTTCGGCCCACGGAGTTGTCACCATGATCAAGGGTGACAACGGCGTCATGATGCCGGGTCTCAGCAGTACGTACTGACCCTGACTCACTCCTTGACACAACAACAAGCCACTAACACTCCGCCAGTCGTTGATGGTACTCCCCGTGACTGCTCCTCCAACGGCTGTGGCTCGCAGGCCGACACCTCCATCATCCGCAACCGTGACATGCAACAGAACCCTCTTGGCAAGACCCAGGGCACTGGCCCCGTCGACGCCTCCGTCAATGTGGCGCGCTTCATGGGCAGCAGCCAGGCCGCGCCCAAGAACAATGGAGCCTCGGGCGCCGTCGGCAAGGAGGACGACCTGTCTGGCTTGCCCGCTGGCGCGGCAAAGCGCCACGAGGAGCGCAGGCGCCAGCTTAGCAAGCTCTTTGGCGGTGGCGGCGGTGCTGCTGGCGGTCTCGGTGCCCTCCTCGGCGGCGGTGGCGGTGCTGGTGGCAACAAAAACGGCGGTGCTGCTGGCGGTCTCGGTGCCCTCCTCGGCGGCGGCGGCGGCGGTGCTGCCGGCACCAAAAGCAACGTTGCCGCCGAGACCATGGTCGCCGACACGGCCGGCATGGGCAACAGCCAGGGCATGCCCACCGCGGACAGCAACGGCGTCGTCAGCATGGTATACCGCCAGATCAACCAGGACGGCGCCGGCCCCCTGACGGCCATGGTCGACGGCACCTCGGGCGGCACCGACAACAGCGCTTTCCAAAAGGCCGAGGTCACCCAGGACGTCCCCGGTCTCGGCATCGGCGGCCTCTCACTCGCCACCAACACTGACTTCCCTCTGAAGGTTCAGATGCCCGCCGGCATGACCTGCGAGGGCACCGTCGGCGGCGTCAAGAACGTCTGCATCGTCCGCGTCCGCAACAGCGCCGCTGCAGGCCCCTTTGGCGGCTCCGCTGCCTTTACCCAAAACGCCACAGCCCGTAAGCGCGCCATCGCCTACCGCCTCAAGAAGCGCATGGAGATTGCCCGCGAGGCCGTTCCCGAGCCCGACTACACCGAGGCTGACGAGGAGGAGGAGATTGATGATGAGCACTTGGATTAGAGGCTGGCCATGCTGGATATTTGCCAGCCCAAGAGTCATGAAGCCTCGCTGTGAGAAGCACGTCGGTCGCATATACTGTAATTCCCTTGTCGTTAGCCATCAGTCGTTAGCCATCAGTCCATCTTTATTTTCGAGTTTATCTGCAAAACCTGTTTCAATAACGTCGTCTTGGTCAAAAGCCCTTGAAAACACCTCAAAACGCTGTTTGCGGGGTGATGTTGGTCTGACCCTTTCTTTGTCCGGGTAGGCATACATACATGTCTTAGTATTTAAACGCAATCTCGGTTTTCTCTACATGTGCCTGTAGGACTGCTGCAAGACAATACTTTTGGTGATGGCATAATGGCGGATAATGTCGCCTCACAGACGCCTTCACCAATCCCTCGAGTTTTGGGTGTTCCTTTCAGGCCCTGCACGCACGTAGTAGACACTACCTTACCTACCTAGGTACGGATTAGTCAACTACCTAGGTGCTAGGCACGGGGTTCCGCAGACGGGCAGACAATGAGATTCTAGCGCTGTTCTGGGAATCGTCAATTGCAATACTCCATAAATAAATGCCGTGTGAACCCACCATCACCAGCCTTTTCTTTTCACCTGTTTCCCCTGATTTTCCGCCTCGCCATTTTTTGCTTTTCCGCAAGCGTCTCCCCTGTCCCCATGGTTGGGCTGGCTTCAGCTGCATTTTCTGCCCAGCAAGGCAGCCTGCACGCGCTGCCAGTCACGCTTCTGCTCCGTCCGTCACTATTGACATTCACACCCTTTCAAAATCCCGCCAGCCACCGACAGCACCATTTGGGTTTTCATCTCTCCTTCCAACAACTTCACCGTCGACTCACTCAACGTTGAAGAGAGTTTTCAAGAGTCAATCGTGGGGCTTTTTTATTTTCTCCCCTCCTTACCATCGTCACACCTCCCCTTTCACTCGGCCCCATTCGACTCGTGCCCGCCTCGCCGTTTTGTTTGGTTTCGGCTGTGTCGTGCTAATTCTGAACCGCGGTCGACTGTTGAGTTCTGAGACATCAAACCCTTCGCCTACTCCTTTCACTCTCCTCGACGCCGCTTCGATTCAATCAACATACAGATTGCGCTACGAACCCAGCCTACTCCGTCACTACTACACCTCGATCAATCGCTTCACTTGACACAACCATGGCCTCGCGCGCGTCCACGGACCGCCAATATGCTCGTCGCACAACCCCGTCTGCGCCAACTACGCCAATGGATTATGTGCAAGAACCTCTGTCCCAGGTTACTCTGCCGTCCACAGAAGGCCCTGGCTCGCCCATGGATCCCAGCGCATCCTTCAAGACTGAGATGAACGACGACAGAACCTCCGCCATGGTTATCCCCTCCTCGCTCACCCCACCGCCCTCCTCTCAGCTTGGCGTCGCGACCAATCGACGAAACCCAGCATTCTCCCAGTCTCAGCAGACGGTGCCCGTCTCTCCACCTGCCACAATACACAATACCCTGCGCGATCGCGACATGTCATCGACCTATACCGTGCCCTCCTCTGAAGACATCCGCGACGCCACTGCCGACCAGCTGCGCTCCATGCTGCACACATGCATCGCCGAGAACAATAAACTCAAGATGGAGACGGCGCACCACAAATTACAGTTCAATCTGGCCAGCCTGCAGGCTGATGAGCAATCCAAACGCGATGCTGTCGAGCACGTCATGGTTCGCCGCGAAGTTGATGTCCTAAGTACGGCCGAGCACCTTAGACAGGCCAAACGCGACTTTGGCTCTGCCTCGGATGCTCTGACGAGCAAGTACTTGAACCTAAAGATTTCATATGATGCTGCGCTCGAGGAGATCAAGAGTCTCAACAGCCGCATTCGCGTCGCCAAAAAGGTCATTCAGCAAAAAGAGGACAAGGCCGCCGGCCTCAGTGAGGAGCGTGATATGCTCCTCCAGCGCATTCGCGAAAACCGAGAGCACCTCCACATGCTCTGCGGCCCTGGCGGCATCTTTCACGGCGCCCTCACCCCTCGCCCAGCCTCCCACTCCTCCCAGTCGCATCAAGCTGGCCAGACGCATGTCACCGAAAACCAGCATGGTCTGTCCATGTTGTACCAGGCTATGAGCCAGGAGAATCATAACAACAGTGCTCCCTCGACGCCTGCCCAACCTCCGCGCTCTACCACCCAACAGACTCGCAAGCACAACCGCAACGCCCAGTCCATGTCGTCTCTCCCGACCACGCCCGTCAACCAACCTCGCGGCCCGCACGCTGGCCTGCTTCCCTCTGCCAACTTGGTACCACACACGGAGCCCCGTACCATGTACACGCAACAGTACTTTGAGCCCATCACACCCGACAGACGTCATCGTCGCAAGAGCCGCGAGAGCACCATCTCGGCCGAAGAGAGCGACGAGGTCGCCGCGAGAGTACCTGGTGTGCGCACCAGCGTGTCCATGCACAGCCAGCGAGGCGACCACGTACATGAGCAGCAAGTCTTCGACAGCCAAGCTAGCCAAGCCGCCTCAGATCTCCTCCGCCGTCACCCCGGCCAAAGCTTTGACGTTGCAAGCTCCGGCGACTCACGCGACGGCAGCCCAATCCAGCTCCCCGCCAAGCCCGTCACTGCCAAGGTCCGCTCTAGGTTGCCAGACTCTGGGCGGTCGGAAAAGAGACGACTGTCTAGTTCTGTCACCGAGACGTCGGCGGTGCACTCACGGCGCGAGCAAGGGAGTCCGGCGAAAAAGGCGCGTACCGGCGCCGAAGTAGACGGACGCCGTGTTGGACTTGGAATCCAGTACTAGTAAAGAGCATGCAGCGGCATTATCACGGCACATATTACGATTCGACGACATGATGGAGCATTCACTGCATGTATAGCATTTTGAGTGAGATTTTTGTTTTATTATTCATCTGTGGGCAAACAGGAAGTACGGTCGGGCGGGGAGTTTTGATTTGCTTTCAAGGGATGTGTAGCTTTCTAGCTGGCCCTAGGAAAACGGTGCCAAGAATGGATTAAAAAAAAATGACACAATTGCATCAAATAAAGAGATGACACACTAGTCAGTCATTGCTTTGTGAGCATTGCTCATGATTATTGCCGCCGCCATTTGCCGGGGGTCGGACGGCGGCCGGGTCTGTCCAAGGTACCAACTGCCGCCGCCACTACCCGAACATTTGTCTGGAGCCCGGATCCGATGTAAAGCTACCCCAGATTCGGACCTCCCATTTTCCCTTTTGCATGATTGTTTAGCCAGGCGTCTTTTGCTCTTCGAATCACTGTACTCTTCCTTTTATTCTTGTGTCTCCTTGACATGTCCTTATTCTCTCGACGTTCTCCCGCGGTACTCACACATTGGTTCCCAACGCATAGCCCGCAAAGCGCACGCTCAATTAGCTGTCGCAGATACACCCACTGTAGCTCACCATCACCAATTGGCATCCCCAGTGATTTTACAACCACGGCCAGTCCTTGTCGGCAACAAGACTCCCAACTCGTCCACCCAAACGCCTCCTTGACACCTCTTTTTTACACTCCATAAACTACGCATCCACCATGACCCTCAGAGCTACCGCTGAGCTGCTCGTCCGCTCCGCCTCCGACGTCGTCCTCGTCTCGGCCCTGCGCACGCCCGTCTGCCGCGCCTACAAGGGCCGTCTCCGGGACGCCTACCCCGAGGAGCTGCTCGCCTCTGTCCTCGCCGCCACGCGCGCCGCCCTGCCCGCGTCCGCGCCCGCATCCGCCGTCGAGGACGTGGCCGTCGGCGTGGTGCTCTCCGAGCTCGGCGGCTCAAAGGCCGCGCGCATGGCGCTCAACCACGCGGGCTTCCCCGTCAGCACGACGCTGTACACGGTGAACCGCGCGTGCGCGTCGTCGCTGCAGGCCGTCGCGGCCGTCGCGGCGGATATCCGCGCCGGCACCATAAGCGCGGGCATCGCCGCGGGCATGGAGAGCATGACGCGCAACTATGGGAGTCGCGCGGTGCCGCAGGACGTGTGGCCGGCGCTGCGGGACTCGGAAGAGAAAAATGTCCGCGACTGCGTCATGCCCATGGGGCTGACGTCGGAGAATGTGGCCGAGCGATACGGCGTGTCTCGGCACGATCAGGATGCGTTTGCGGTGGAGAGCCATCACCGCGCGGCGGCCGCGCGGGCGTCGGGCGCCTTTGACGCGGAAATCTCGCCCGTGCGCACGCGCTTCCAAGAAGTCGACAAGCAGGGCAAGCCGGTCGGCGAGCTGCAGCAAATCACCGTCACCCACGACGACGGCATCCGCGAGGGCGTCACCCTCGACGCGCTCGCCAAGCTCAAGCCCGCCTTTACCCCGTCTGGCGCCTCGACAGCCGGCAACTCGAGCCAAGTATCCGACGGCGCCGCCGCGACCCTCCTTATGCGCCGCGACGCCGCCGCCGCCCTCGGCCTGTCCGGGTCCGTCCTCGGCCGCTACGTCGCCGGCGTGACGGTCGGCTGTGCGCCCGACGAGATGGGCATTGGGCCCGCGCTCGCGGTGCCCAAGCTGCTGTCCCGCGTCGGCCTCGAGACGCGCGACGTGCACCGGTGGGAGGTCAACGAGGCGTTTGCGAGCCAGGCGCTGCACTGCGTGCGCGCGCTCGGGCTCGAGGACGCGTGGGCCCGCGGCGAGGTGAACCCGGACGGCGGCGCTATTGCGCTGGGACACCCGCTGGGGGCGACGGGCGCGCGCTTGGTGGCGACGCTGGTGCATGGGCTGAGGAGGGCGGCCAAGGGGGATGTCGGCGTGGCGACGCTGTGCATCGGCACGGGCATGGGCCACGCAGCGCTGTTTGTGGCAGAGTAAGAGGAGGAGAGGGGGTGGTAGAAGGTTGTGGTGATGATTTTGTGCATCTACATGGAACGAAAGAAGATTCATGGCGGCTGGAGTGATGGGATTGAACATTTGTGAATATCGTAACAATAGCTAATGCCAGTGGCACAAAAAAATATACATTATTATTACAAGTAGTGATGGTTCTCAGGATCGAATAATAGATTTGCCTCGCGCACCAGGCGCCCACGTCACGGCTCTGCCTCGACCATCGTCCTTATTAAACGAGCACACCAGTCCGCTCTGTGTGTCCCTTCCTACGTCGCCTCCGATGAACTCGCCCCGCAAGCCGACGCGCAGGCCAAGGAGCGCTTTGCTGACAGCCACATAGTTGCCGAAAAAGGCGTGAGCACGCGCGTCGCCGCCGCCGTTCGTCACGCCATGACCGAGCGTCACGCCCCAGAGGCCGCCCTCGAGACGAAGCGCGTGCGCATCCGGGCTTCTGTCACGCTGCAGCATGACCGAGTAGACAGCGCCCGTGTAGCGGACGGCCCCGTCAGCGGTGTAAGCCGGAAACGTCCAGGCCTTGGCGTCGCGGGAGATGGGGTGCCACGGCGTGACGAGGACAGCGCCGAGCCGGCACAACGTCTCGTCCTTGACGGGCGTTCGCAGCACCGCCGCCACCTTGCGCGAGCCGAGCGGCGTCTGCAGCTTCATGCCGCGGCGCAGGCGACGCATCTCAATGGCGCGCCCCGAGGCGAGCTGGACAAGCGTCGAGCCGGCAAAGCATACGCCGCACGCGTTGCGGTAGCTGCTCATGGAGATGGGGATCGAGCTTGCTGCGAGCGCAACCGCAGGAAGACCCTGCTCTCTCGCCAGATATTTGTGACGAGAGGGTTCGGGGGCCGGCAGATTGTCAAAGGCCTCGTCCAGTCTGTCGCGGCAGGTGATGAAGAGAGGGCTATCGCGACCATACTGGAGTGGCCCGGGGTCCTTGAACGAGTTACATACCTGTCGGGTGTGGGCGTTAAGAAGCGATGGCAGATAGTGCTGTCCCCATCTTTCAAAAAAGTCTGTTTTCTTGCGCAAGGCAATTGAAACTTGTCCTTCGGACTCCTGGCCAGCGAGATCTTGCACCAAGGATTTGTTAAGCGAGTCGAAGTGGTTTCTCGATGGCAATCTTTCGATGAGTGTCGCAAATTCTTGAGTAACCAGCTCAAACCTGTTTGTCACAAACGCCGCGTGGTCTCCTAGCTTCTCGATAGGAAATAGAGTGGAAAGAAAGGAGCAAATTTGTGCTCTCGATTCGTGATATGCGACTAGCTCTTCTGGTATGGAAGACGTCTTCAGCAAGCCATGCATGACTGTGGCCGATGTAAAGTCGCCCGTGTCGTTGTCAAGAACCAACTTATACTTAATTGTGGCTTCGACGATAGGCAAGGGACCCGGTTCCATGCCGCACAGTTTGACAATGTGCGGACTGTGGAAGCCTAAGAATATGTCACGCGACTGTCCGTATTGTATATTTCCCAAGGCAATATCAAGCTGCAGGCCCTGTTTGGATGATTCGATGAATGGCTCTGGTGGACTGCTGAGAACAGAAGTACCCATAGCCTCTTGAATTTGCAAATTCGACGCGTATCTGAACTGCAGGGTGGCTTCCGTAGCATATGTATTCTGCAAGTTCGCCACTGCATGAACAAAGACGGTGCCAATCATGCCAGCATCGGGGATGAAGGAATAGTTGCCGCTTCCAATCTCTGCAATGTACTTGAGCAGACCGGACCTCAGTTGGTAGCCAAACCCAAAAGTATGGATGGTTGCCGGCAGCGGGAGTTTCGCTCGAAGCTTTGGAATATAGCCAGCAGGAGGGCACCTGAGGCGTGTTAAGCAGAGACAAGAGCACTTCAAGGGGAGCTGCCTTACATATGATTAGGCATGCCGTCGGTGAGAACCATAATGGCCGGGACCTTGCCATCAGAGTTTACCTTCTCAAATTGCTTCAGGCCGGTCAAGATGCCGTGCCATAGATTCGTGGCATCCTTCGGTTCCATACTGTTGATGTTGTCGCGAGCAACTCTCTTTTTTTCTTCCGTCATGAACTCCAGAGGCTGTAAAACAGTGACATTGCTTGCAAATGTGACGATGGATAGGCGGTCGCGCTCATCCATTGTCTCGACAATCGTCAGCGAGGCGTGCTTGACGAGGTCCAAGATAGAAAGGCCGTTGGCCTCGGTGAAGCTCTCGCCAGGCACCGGTGCGGCATCAAACATGCTGCCAGAAACGTCAATGACGAGGACAATATCGCAAGGGACATGGCGGACCGGCGTTGATGGCTCTCTGGGCGGCTGTAGGCTTGCAATCAGGGCTTTCTTCTTAGGGAAGCTGTGCAACTGGAAGTCAACCGGTGATGGGTGATTGTTTTCCTTGTTTGACAGAGACAAGTCTTCAAGTTGTTGAACTGGGACCCTCTATCGAAGAGTTAGCAGACATGCATACGACGTGGGATCCGAACACACACCATTTTGTATAAGACAGCCTCGAGCGTAAGTCCTGGAGAAGCAGAAGCGAGTCGACTAGCGGTAGACAAAACTTGTTGGCAGGGATATGGCCGATTTATTAATTATTGAGTGAGATTCCGGCTCCGGCACCGAGAACCGGTGTACTGGGATCAGACGGTGGCTCGGCGGCTGACGACGGCCACGACGAGTGCGTCCTGCTCCGAGCCACTAAAGTAGGCTATTTCGGGGGCAGACACGAGGCAAGTCAAAGTGTGGATTCGATTCGAGCCATTCACGGCGGCGATAGTATGGGCATACTGTAAGGCTGATCTTGGAGATCCTGATTTGGCAAGTGGGTGGACGGGGCTCTTCAGCACATGCGCCGGTGCCATTCAGCTCCAAGTTGTTTGGAAGCAAGGGGTCTTTTTTTTTGGCCCTGGATTCGGGCGAATTTTAATCATCACCATTAATTGACCTTTCTTGGCGTCGGGCCAACGAGACTGCTTGTGATTGTAGATGAGGCGTGTCTGACAGGCAGCTACCATGCTCAGATTCTGCCTTTGGGTGGCGCAGCGTGGCCCGGCTGCCTGGTTACGTTGCCCTTTGAGCTCATCTCGACTCTGCAAGGCTACCACGACGCCAAGGTGGGACCAGAGATGGCAGATTTGTACAGATGATGAAGTTGTGCTCTTTCTGGCACTTGTGCATGATGATGATGAAGCCAGCTGCATTCGTGGTTAGGCGGACCGAGATGGCCGGTCTGTGGCGTGCGACTTGCTTGCAGCTGGCAGCGGGCAGCTGGCAGCCCATGGCGCAACAAACAGTCCAAACAGACAGTCGTTTGATCAGAACTGCATAGCGAAAATTTTCTCAATGACATCTAGACAAACCACAGTCTTCATCAATCAATGCTTTTCGTCTTTCTACACGTCCCGTCTGCTCTAGCGCCCTTTGCTCGTCCGTTCACGGCACTCTATTACCCCTGGCGCCGAAAAGAAGCTGTCTCTGGCCATCGTGTCTTTCCTATCAGAAAACCCGAGCAATCGCTGAACCAAATTAAACTCTGGTCTGTCGCCCAACTTGCAAGTCGCATACCATCCAAGTGTCGGGGATAGCACGATTCACACGATCCTAACATCTGGTAACAGTGGTCAACCGAAGCTGTAACACCAAACATGCCTCATCAATCACCAGTTCACTGTGCGGTGATGATACTGGCACCTATTGATCACTATGTAAGAAGGAGGATTTTTTTAATGGTCTACGATCGTGTCGCTGAAGCGATTCAAGGTCTACGGCGCTGCGACATCGGATTGGCGACAACATCTACGAGCTCTTCGCTCTTTGCTCCCTGTACGGTGCTCATATCATTTTTGACAGAATTCCTCCCCGGGCTCTAGTGCATCGTTCTCCTCAGATACTTTGGTTCACCCACGATGCGAATGTCAGCCACAAACGTAGGCTCACGAATTCGCCACTCGCCGGCCGACCACCAGGCGAGCAGACAACCACGTCCAGCAAATCCGCTTGTCAAACTTGCTGGCTGCTTTGGTCCTCCACACCATCTGCACAGCTAGCTTATGACTCTTTGAGCGCCACTACTTGAAACGTGTTTGCAAGCTATCGACGCCTCTTTTCGACAGTATCCGAAATGCCGACTTCGCAGCTCTCTGGTTTGGGTAACATGTCAAGCACACGTCAAAGCCAGTGCCAGCATGCGCTGAACTTGGTCATTCTGCATCACGACAACGCGCCTGGGTACGGTCAGCCGAATGCTACCGTTGGGCAGTAAGACTACCTCCAGGTAAGAAATGAAATTGAAAATTGTTCGGTGAAAATCATACTAGATTTTCAAGTTATGGCATGTGAAACACGACGGGAAGCTATCAGTGAACATGCTTTTTATGCTGACGCCTTCCAGCTGAAGCTTCCCCGCATCTCCCACATCCGAGCTTCCAAGCTACTTGTATTTACCAAGCTCGACACCATCCCGCAGCTCTCCATTAATTGCTGCGCAAGGTTCTAGACCAGACGGGCGAAAGAAATAATGGTGTGAGCGACAAGAAATGGTAGTTCATCGCAGATTTGTGTGCAGAAACGCCTCTGTGCTATACGACACTTGAGCGACAGGATTGTCTGTGCTTCTGGACAAGATTGGCAGGACCCTGAGACGGTGATCCTAAGTGTCGTGTCGCCACAAAACACAAACAAGCTCCCTTGGTTACGCCATCGTGCAGTAGAGCTTCCGTTTTTGCCCAACATGACGATGGTAGACTTGCAACTCTCAAACTCTGTGGAAAGCGGCGCATGCGGGGTCGAGGCTCTGGGATTTGTCGCACGGCCCATTTGGGGATCGCCTTTCGCAAGTGGCAGGCCCAGCAAGCCCGCATTAACTGGTGGAAACAACAGGATCTTGGAAGAGGGTCGAATGCAACAAGCCGTGCGTTACTGAATCTTGCTTTGGCTAGTCGCCGGGAGGGGATTGGTTGTTAGCTTCGGGGAGCCAGCCCAGCCTCTTCAGGGTTCGTCGTAGCCAGCTTGAGATTGATTGGCGCCTGCGGCCCACCGACGATGAACCAAGCACCCAACCAGCAGCCGTCTGAGGCACCACCAAGCTGGTGTTTGTCTGGGGTCGGGGTAGCAAGGTGCGTCATGGTCTGCCACACACGAGACGAGTGCACATAGATAGCAGTTCCTTTGACAGTACAAACTGCGTCATATCATTGCGAAAAGCTCCAATTGCAGACGGACGGCTGCAGTCCGAGCGAAAGAAGGAAAAGATGCTCTGCTCGGCAACTCGGTACTAAAAGCTGTCGTGGCTGTCATGAATTAACCTTTTGTGAGGGGGTGGAACGAGGAGCCAACCGAATGAGAGTCCACCACCTCCACCCTGCCGATTTGCAGTGACTCTTTGCGGCAGTTGTGATCCTCGAACCCATCCCATCTTGCGCAGACTTTCTAAGAGGAAGCTATTCTTTGACATTTGAAGCAGAGGAGCAGGAATGCTCGTGCGACGGGAGGAACAAAAAGTGGTGTGGTACTCGCAGGTGACATTTTTACCCGGGCGTGGCATTCGCTTCCGGTTTTCTCCGCCATGTGCGACTATTCGCCCCTCCAGGGAACCCCTCCCCCCAGCACAATGACAGTGAGGCGGCAGGAATAATAATACCGTGCCAGCGACGAGTTTGGTGGTGGTGGCAGACTCAACCTGTGGCGAATCAGAGGCTCCGGCCCCTCGCAGGCCGGCGCCGCACGTCGTCGTCCCACTTGGCCGGACTTGGGCTGTCGCAGTTCAGAGGCTTGTCGCTCGCAGCCCTCTTGTCTCGTCACTGGTCTGGTCTTGCGCTTATCTCTGGTGGCCTGAGAATTGGCTTTTGCGGCGGGAGCAAGAGCTTTTGAGTTGTATTCTCTATTTTCTCTCGAGCTATATAAAGACGGGGGACCCCGATTTGCGACTGCTTTTCCGACCTTTCTATCATCTCATCTATCAATCTCAAACTTTATCTCGACAAATTTCAATCACAAGCTTTAGCAAGACTTCAGTCATACACCACACACACAACACTACCACTACCACCACTACTACCAATACCATCAAGATGCCTGCTTTCGAGTACTGCTGCAAGTGCGGGACTATGATTGTCATTAGCACCACCTGCACCAACTGCGGCCACAACCAGTGCAGCGATTGCCCGCTCTCCTAAACGTTTGGACGGACGCGGACGGTAGCAGCCTCTCTCATGATGTCGACATGAGCTGGGGCATGGACGGACCAATGGCCTGACCTCAGGCATGTACGCCTACTGTGTGCGTGACAAGATGTTCTTTCGTCCTCATAGTCATCACATACTGATGTGCGACGCAGACGATTTCTTTATTACTCTTTACGAGAGCGATACCCAACATGGCGCGACACGACCAGTGACTTGACATTATGCTATGGGCAACCGGCGTTTTTTTCTTTCTGACTTTTGGGAATCCCTAGCGAAAAGATACCATCGACAGGCGCTATTTGAATTGAATCTTAATTATTATTCTCTTGTTTGACTTTGCGTTTTCTCATTCATAATGACGCCGACTATTGTGTTCTTTGTTTCATCCTTGGCCTCATTTCTCCTATCTTGACTCGCTTGACCCTCGCGACAGGCCGATTAGAGACAGCCGTAATAACCTGCCCCCCCCCCCCCCCTGCCGACGGCGCCCTGCATGCGAACCGCCATTGCATCTTGGACTTTGCTATTCCGTGATGGCTCATTGGTGGGCTTGGTGCGGGGCGCTCCTCTTGTTCCTGTCGAAGAGATTATTTATCCCCCATGCGTAAATCAAGTTGTAGCAGAAAAGCTAACTAGCTCTGACTATTAATTTTTTTTTTTTTAGCGTGACGCATGGCACACAAAAGTGGCAGGGGGGCTTTCCTTTTTCTTTCTCTCTTAGTTTGTCTTTGTTCTTATCAGTGGAGCAAGCCACTTATGTAAATTTTAGGCTTAGCTTTTTTCCACCTGGCGCTCGACTTGATGACGGACTTGACGGATGATTGTCTTGGGAGAGGGGGGGGGGGGGCGGCGCGGAGAGAACAGCAGATCATGGCGACAAGCCAAAACTATAATAATGGCAAAAGGAAATGTGTCTTCAGAAGCGGTGCTGGTTTACAGACCACGTAGTATGTTAGGAAGCATTCATGGCGTGACTCTGGCAACTTTTTTGATGCAGAACCTTTCGGTCAAGACGGCTTAGTAGAGAGATTGTTTTGCGCAATGCCGCCACAAAGCGAGCGTCACTGACCAAGTGCCTTTGTTCTAATAATAATTCAGTATTTCTTTTTCTTTTTTCCCTTTTCTCCTCTCTCTGCCATGCGGCTTTCAGGGACTTGCGGGTACGGACCCCCTGAAATCGGTGAAATGCTGTTCGATTTGGGAGATTGCTAGTTTATTCCTGACTATATACTCCCCGCTTGCTATTAATATTTTAAAGCAAACTTTCCACTTCGTTCTGACTCTGCAAGCGATTGTTCCCGACGAGCAAGGGGGAGAGGAGGGGCAGCTCGACTCAGGTAGAAACCACGAAGCTCGGACGGCCGAGAGTCTGGCCGTGGGTTCTATGAGGTCTGTCTCTAAGAATGAACTGCTAAATCACCTTCAAGTAACCTTTTTTTTGCTTCTCTTCTTTGTTGAAGCTCGTATCTGTACGGATAAATAGTCGAGAGTGCAGATTTCATCGTGCCACATGTATAAGTGGCGGCTTGCTATGCACACCAAGGACTGACTCCCACCACGCCACAATCACAGCAACATTCATCTCTTTCTCGCCATCTCCCTCCTCCGCCGCCTCCTCCTCCTCCTCCTCCTCCTCCTCCTCCTCTTGCTTCTTCCTTGTTTCACTCAGTAATCCCTCACCATGATTATCGTCGACGTCTTCGCCTTGCGCTCCCTGACGGAAAAGCCCAACTTTTCATAAAACGGCACCACCTTGTCATTCTCCCCTCCCACGCCCAGCCATATCCCCTTGTGCCTCCTCACCCCTCCCTCGTCCTCTTCCCTCTTTGCTTCCTTCATGCTCTCCACCAGCAGCACCTCAATCAGCCTCCTCCCCCATCCCCGCCCCTGGTGCTCGCTCAGCAGATCAATGTGCATCGTCCCGCGATACCCCTCCGCCAGCAGGTCCTCGTGCCCGTCCACCAGCAGCCTCTGCGCCGAAAACGCCAGCTGCGTCAGCGCCAGCTCGTTGATGCGGCCCGTGTCGGGGTCGATCCACGGCGCCGCCGCGTCCGGCTCCGCGGGGCTCGGCACCAGACGCACGTCGCCGTTGGCGCGTCCGCGGCCCTCGAGCACCTCGCGCACGTACCGCGGGTACGCGGCGCAGAGGGCGCCCACGTCCGGGCACCCGATGCAGTAGCCGACTGCGCGGCCCGTGCCGTCGTCTAGGACGAAGCATGTTGACGGCGAGAGGTGCGTGTACTGGTGCGTCCAAATGTAGGGCGCCAGCCGCCGCGCCGGCTCCGAGGCGCTGAGCGAGGGTGGGAGCGTCGCGCGGCACTGGGGGCGAAAGCGCTGAATGTGAGCGGGAATATCAGTTCGGGCGCGAGGTTTGGTTGCAGCTTACAATGTGTGACATGTTGTCAAAGTCCGAATCTCGATATTGCCGTATAAACGCCATCTTGTCCGATATGCACGGCCTGACTGACGTCTTGGTTCTGGTTTCGCAGATGCTATGTATCAAAAAGGTTCACGTCGAATGAACCTCAAGGTATTGGCACGTATGAGGTCAGATCAAACCCTCGTCAAGTTTATGACAATTTACCTGTCACCCAACTCTAGCCCTAGAGAGACCCTTTGGTTCTTTGACCCAACTTGGCGTCACCGGACCCAACGACCCCGTAAACGTGGTTCCTCTTCTCCTCAGGACCCCCACCTTGGGGCATGATGCTAACTTGATGGCCTCTTGGGGTCGGGAGCTCCTATCCTTTACGTGGGGTCAGCTGAACACAAGGTAAAATGATTTGACTACCTACCTAGTTAGTCAAACGTAATGTAACGTCGAGACGATGGTGGGAAAGCCAAGGAGCCTAGACAAGGCGGAGAGCCCACCGAGATCCCCGGGTGCCGCACTTTGCCGAACCAGCATACACGTCATTGATACCCAAAAGACACGGGAAATCTGGAAGCGAATCTATTGATGCATTTCTCATTCAAATATCGCCAAAGCTGTAGTGTAGTGTTGTGCGCTTCTCCCAGCCTGTTTGACGCGCCTGATTTATCATCCCAAAAGCCCTTGTCGCTCCAGTAAAGTGCTTCTTCACGGCTCAAAGCTAGCCAAGATGCTGCTGCCAACATCCTAATTTCGCCATCTCAACTACCTTTCAAAAGGCCCAAATGCTGGGGAAGAGGGATTGTTCTGCTCCGCCACCTGATTCGCCGCCCATTCCGGCAGCGGCCGATGAATCGCGCGGCACGACGCTTTTTTTTTTCCCGCCATAGTCAGCATGATGCCTCCCATCACGACAACCGATGGCCAAAAGTCACTTACGACACATTCTATCACTATCCGGTCCCGTTTGATTAGCATAGAACTCGTAGGCATTTTTTCCCGATCGTGCGGCATACATGCTCTATCACAGAATCAACACAAAGTGAAAAACGAGAGAAAAAACTCACAGCCCGTCTGTATGGATAACGTTTATCTGGCAAACGGATCCTGTCCTAAGATACCGTGCGCAAAATCGATCAACAATGTAATACGTATGTCGGCACTCGAATATCATCTGGGAGCATTAAACATCCATCAGTCATCGCCCAAGATTGTCGCTCCATCTCCAGCGCTAAGCCGACGCCGAATCGCTGCTGGTTCGCCCAAGATACCTCGATCCAAAGTAACTGCCCCCCTCGCCTTCCCATCGCTCGCGCAATCTCCTCGCTCACCTCTATATGGTTGCACATGGCTGCTTCGCAGCGAGTACAGATATGCTGTCGTCAGCTCGGGCATCGCCTTGCCGTGCCTCTCCCTCGCGCTCCTGTGCGTGAACCTCGAGAGGAAAGCAAAAGGCAAAAGATGGAGTGACCAAGGGGAAAAGGCCGTTTGTTTGCTCTTCGTATGTCTCGAGCCCACGAAGAGCACCGGGCGCGCAAAAACCGCGGGCTTGAAAGTAAAGGACAGAATGGAAAAGAGGCACAAACAGTCGGCTGCGTGGCCCCGGGTGACTTGCGTTGCAGCCGCCGCCCATTCTTATACAACACCAAGGGCGCGGAGCTGCGTCGCACACAGCAGCATGCCGGATAACTGACGCGGCAAAGATGGGCATCGTGCTTTTGGTCCATACAAATCCTAGTTACACGGGCCCAGCTTCGTCACTGCAAACTCGCCCTACACAGGGCCTGTAATCTTGTTTGCGTCGCACAGGTCACTACTTGTCGACACAACCCGTCCATTGTGAGCCTTGACTGAAGCCTCCATACGGCAGGTACTACCATCAAAAGCGCTTCCGCACAGCATCCAAACCTCAGTACCTTGGTTACTTTTTAATTGTAGTATCGAAATATTTAGGCATGCTCATCTGGTATTTTTCACTCTGCAAGTGCTTTCCCCCCTAATGTCCTCCCCAACATACTATTTTCCATGCTCCTATGCCGAAGCTTTCAAACAAGGCGAGGTGAATCAAAAGACCTGCCTGATTTCCATTCGCCAGCACTACTTTTGAAATCAAGTACATGAACATGATACGCCGTCTGCCCGCCAAATTTCGCGATGAAATGTGAATCTGAAAATGTGAAAGAAAAAAGACCGTGCAGGCAAGTTGGATGAAAAAAGCGACACAAGAAATGGAGTCAGCCGGTCGACTCATAGAGTAGCAGCAAGGCAAAATGGGGTAAGGTATATGTGTGATACAAGATGAGAAGGTGGCCTTGTTTGCAGGCTCTGGAAAGTTTGCAAACCGGTTATTATCAAGAAAAGGGTATTCTCGGTGAAGTGTGTTCGTAATGTTGTGTATATTGATTGATCTGCGTTCAGTTGATAGCGACTGCAGCATCACCTCGCCGCTTTCCCTCGACTTTTCAGATCATGCCTCCTGGAAGGCTGTTACTCGACATGTTGGCATGGGGCAGAGGAGGTCGATGAGTAGGTGCGGGGGGGTAGCGTCGAGTACGCTCGCCATTTTGGTCGCTCGTCGCTCTATAAAGCTGTCGTCGTTGTTCATCCGCGCTCTCATCGTACGAAACGTCGGCGTTGCCAGATATCGGCTCGCCGCTGCGGTAAGACTGACCAACCAAACCATTCTTTCGTCGGGGATTAATCGGAGGCAGTGGGGGTGCATCAAGAGGCGCATGCAGATTTGGGGTAGAGACTGTGGCTCCGGGTAGGCTCGAGGGATGGAATCGATTATTGGGAAGGTATGTAGGTTCAGAAATATCGCGCTTCCTGTTCATTGTCGGGGAATGGTTGCTTGTGTGCGACGACATCGTCGTGCGGGTATCACTGGAGGAGGAGACACCACGAGAAACCATTCTATTTTGGCGTTCATTTCCCTCGCGGCTGCTTTCCGATCCGCTGCGATCTCTGTCTAAGGCTGCCTGTGCTTGACCTTTGCCTGAGAGACCAGCTTGCTGGTAGTGGGGAGGAGCCGCGGTCTGGTCATGCGAGAATGTGCGCTGGGCAGCCGGGCGGTCAGATCGCGGGCTGAACTTTTGCGGCGATGTGCCATGACGCTGTTGTACCTCGATTTCCTTCATCTTTTGAAGCTCTCTTCTGGCTTGGCGGAAAGCCTTCAGACCAGCATGCACGCTCTCCTCCTTGCGCACTGGCAAGGCAGGTTCCTGCGGAGCAATTTCACCAGATGTCGTTCGGGTCGACGGTGCAGGAGATTTCCCACTCTTTGATTTTGAATCACTGTCTCGATCACGGCCGCGGTCAAACAGGGATGTGCGACTGGACTTGGTGCGAAGAATGCCAAGTGCGTTGTTTTTGGCAGCGGCGAGATCTTTGGCTGACTCGAGAGGAGGCGCGGGCGGTGGCAGAAGTTCATTGTCAGGCTCGGCATACGAGGTCAGCTTCTCGCGAACCCGTCGAGCGCCGTCTGCTAGATGCCTGGCGAACTCATCTTGTTCTCCACGCGTTGCAGACTCGTTCTGATGTGTGGTCGGCGTCCATGCGCCACTGTCCGTTGAAAGTTGATTCTCATCGAATCCCCAGCTAGTATTGGATCCATGGTTGTCCTGTTGCTTGTAATCTGGCATGACAGACTTCTGACGTGAATCGACATCGGGCGTCTGGGCAGACATGTCATAAATAGAGGAGGCATTGCTATTACCGCGGAGATGCTGTCTTACCATTCCGCTGAGACCAGTATTTAATCCGGGGCCGAGAGTAGGAGAGTCTTCTGCGCGATCATCTCTCAGACGTGAACTTCTGTCTGCCCTGTCTTCCACAGATAAGTTATCGTCGGATGCTCTGGATGACAACGAAAGCGGGGTCGGGAGGGCTGATTTGCGAAAGGCAGGATGGTCCTCGTCATTTGGGCGTTCTACAGTGAGCTGCACGCTCAAGGACGAAGCGAAATTGGAGTAGCTGATGGGCCCAGAAGCATCATCCGTGTCTTCGAAGAAGGAAGTTGAGTTGTAATCCTTCTTGGGTACACGATCAACCTTGCTTTGGGTAGCGTCAATACGCTCGCGGAGACTGCGATGCGTCGAAGATGATCTGGAACGACTGGCATCATGAGAAGATCGTGCACCAGCCTGGCTGTGGCTATCAGAGGCATCACGGCCTTTGCGCATTTGCTGCTGGCGTTGGGCGAATTTGGAGTCGTCATATTGTTGAACTGGTCTCTTGAACACGCCCATGGCGGTTGCTTTCCCCCTGTCATTGGGCTGAATGGGTAGCATTGAGTGGTGGTCATCTGCTTCACTGATAGGAGGGCTCAAGGGCGGATTGACACCGAAATTGGTCTTGTGCTCTGTTGTGAACCTGGGAACAGGCTCGGACGGAGTCTGCGGAGAAGCACCTGAAGCAGGTGGTGTAAAGGACCGCAGGTTGGGCGCACTGGCCTTGCTAAGGAGAGTGCGTCTCTCCATCATGCGATCACTAAAGGTCGAGCCTGTTGGAGACGGGCCAGACAGGCCATCCGGAGAGGCCTTGTTGCGGTGAGACTTGGACAGCGTGTCTATGCGGGATAGAGCAGAGGACTGTTGGTTCTGTAGATCTTGCGTCAAGCCTTGCTCATATAGGCGCCTGGTGCGTGTGAAGCTCCGCTCTACGGTGCTGGCCGATGTCGGGATTGCTGTTTGACCCTCTTTGGACGAAGGCACCTGGGACGCGATTGAGGTGGCTGCGGTGGAGTATCGCCCGGCAGACGATGTTGTTGAGTTTGTGGCGCGCTTCTTGTTGTAGTCGAAGGCAGAATCAAAATCGAGTGTGTCATCGATCCTATCCTCAAAGGAGGCTCTTTCTTTCTCCGACTGCCTCCACTTCTGGAATGCCGTCTTGGCTACGTCTTCATCATACAAAATGCGGCTGCCCATGCCATTGTTTCCGGTTTTAGTGCCCGCGCCAATACGGTAGATTTTTTGGCGTCCACCAAACAAGTTATTTCCATCGTTTGGTCGAGCTCGGTCCATGATACTGCCAGCATCATAACCTTCGGATCCGTGTGATGAGTTGAGACGAGTGAAAGACGCAGCCTGGAGAGATTCGATTTCGGCGATGTCCTGTAAGCCAGAGGCATAGCCAAAGTCCATCAGCCTTGACTGGCGCTTGGGGAAGAGCACACTATCATCGCTGGCTTTACCAAGCTTTGAATTAGGGTCGTCCTGCTCTCGTAGCATGGAAAATCGGGCCGAAAGACCCGTCATGAGTAGACTGGTCCGAAAATCGTCACTAGGAGGGAGCGCGGCATCAATATCCAACTGTTGCTTGAAGTCATTCTCGGGCAGCTTCTTTTTCCCAAACAGCTTGAAGGGGCTAGCATTGTCACTGTCCACGGAAGGGCGAGGGGCGGAGATGTCGTCCTTGGTTCGCTTCTTGGTTCGAAATCGGTTCATTGTGATTGGATTCTAGTCGTGTATTGGCTTGATGGTGTGAAATATCGCTTGGCAGTCAGGCTGAGGTGGCGGATAGGGGTGGATGTGATTAGGCTTTCGATGTATACTGGGCAGACTGGCATGGTGTGCGGTTAGCATGACGACGAGCTGACGAATGAGTGGCATCACTATTAAGTTGTTTTCAGAACCAGCCGGTGTTTGTGCGCTCGCTGCCAGCGCAGCGCACATTTGACAACTCGACTTTTGCCTTCTCGCGGCCATGCTGGGCCAAAGTAAATACTCACAGCAATAGGGGTTTGCTCTGATCGATACAGTCAGCCGACAGGGCAGGAGAGCAGAGTAGCCAGCATGAGGCTCTGACTGGACAGTCTCGTACAGCCGTTGACCTGAAAGCTGATATCGTTGCACGGTCGGAGCTTGCTGTTGAGCAGCGCCGTGCCTACTGTAAGGGAGGGTGAAGCGGTTGGTCCAAAGGCCGCCGCCAAAGTCAATGGTAAGAATTTGTCGTGCTTGAAAAGACTCGCAATCTAGGCGAGCGAGGGAGAGTCGGGTTGCAGTTGCCGTGGAAAGGGATCGTTACCAGTAGCTGGATCGAATGCCGGTTTGCAGATCTAAAATATGAGCAAGACGTTGTGATGGGGGTAAAGCCAAGACAGGGATGAAGTCGTACCAAGAAAACGAGCAGCATATGGCCTTGATAATACAACAACGCAATGAAGAAACGAAGGATGAAAGGAAGCAAACGCAGCTGAGCAGCAGGCTGGGAAAGACAGGACTGAAGATTATCTGAGAAGGGGAGGGAAAAAATTGAGAGCGCAAGCGACGTCGCGTCCGAGTGGTGCAGCAAGGGCCGGGATGAAATTTGGGGGAAGAGCCAGCAGCCCAGCGAGATGATACCTGAACCGGGGGGGGGCCTTGTCCCAGGGAGAGGGGCCGGCGTGCGTGCGGTTTGTGCACCGGGCTGGAAATAAAATAGTTACCAGTTTACGGATACCAGTATTTGCAACGGTGAACAAACAGGCAAGAGCTGTGGCACCAGAACGCAGGTACCGATTGTGTGATTCTGACTGAGAAGGAGCCCACACATACCTAGGCACCTGGGCTCAGGTGGCTCACACAGTGGCGGTGGTAGCGGTACAGGCAATGGTGCCAGGGGCTGTGGTGGTCCTGTCACTTCTGTGGCGCTCTTTCCAGGTACTTGACCGCTGAGAAGCAGGGCCTCCATGAACCGCAGGCTGGCCATCGTGCCATGGTCCATGGCAGAGGATGGCAATGCCCCAGCCAATCTACGGCTAGTCGACTTCCCATGTGTGGGGCGTGGACACCCCCAGTCGAGCGGTATGTACCTACCTACTCCCTGCACGCCCACGATTTGTATTGCTGGTCCGTTGGTGCGCGTGCGCTCATCCGATGGTGGTGGCACGAGAGTTGTGTGTTGCTGCCGATGGTTTGTGTACAGTTCTCAGTCTGCAGCTAATGGTCAAGAAGGAAGATCCAAGATACTAGCAAGAACTAAGGGAATATCTCCTAATTACAGAGAAAATGGTAAGCGAGTACGCAGATTACCAAAAGTAGATGTAAGGTAAGGTACCTGGCAAACAGCACCGTGCGCTGATGACCAGCGCGCAGGCAGGCCAGGGGCGTGCGCTCATCAATGAAAACGAGCGCCGTTTCAACGCAAACGCAGAAAGAACCCCTGTCTCTCCGCCATCGTCGCTTCTGTCTGTGCCAGCCAAATGGGACTTCTCTGCTAATCTTTCCGTTTGCTTCGGCAGCTGCTACGTTTGCCCGGGCCGGCAGACTTTCTTGGCAATTGGCAGCTCAAATCACTTTATAATTGTACTGTGTTGGTATGTAAAAGCACTGTGACGGTGGTACTTTTCTTCCCTTGCATCGCATCACTCTAGGTATTGCTAGAATCCTGGTTGTACCAGGTAATAAAGACCGCCTATCCCGGGCTGCCCACCCCTCCACCCTGCATGTCACCCTCCCAAATACCTCTCCGTCTGGCAGGGTCTCGTTTCTCCTGCTCGGGTGCTCCCTTGGTTACGAGACATGGCTTGCAATAAAATCACCAATGACAGGTCACCGTCAGCTTCTCCCATGCGCAACAACAGAAAGAATGAACGGACCGCATCTGCAACATCTCATTGACCCAGGTCGCCAAGTCCAGTATTCTCTGTCTCTCTCTCCCCCACGGCCCTACAAGCCACCGCTTCCCGCCGTCGAACCAATCGCCATCACCAACCAAATTATCCCATGCATGATTCACTGCATGCAACTAGTCCACCTACCACATTGCTCAAGTTACTCTGGAACAACTGGTTTCCAGCGTCAATTCAACAGGTGGTTGTTCTGGTACTCAGAGACTTCTGCAATCGCTCGAAGCTTCATTTGCCATCCAGCTGCAACGCCAGCATTCTTGATGGTTTCGCGTCGTTCAATGTTGAAGGAACTTATTGTGAATGCCATGTGCGTTTCAAAGTCATCAACAAAACACTATTGCATGTCGAGGCTGGGTGTCTCAGGAGCATCTAGCAAACGATCTCACGAATCCTCCTCCAGACCTTTAAGACCTTTGGGTAGAAAGAATCACAGAATCTGACGAACGCACCATTTCAGCTGTTGAGCCAGCTGTCCAACCCAGTAGCACGCAGTTCAAGTACGATATTCCTTTCGTCATTGTCATGTACAATGTATTATTTGGTTGCTTTCAACATCATTGCATCGATCAATAGGTACTCTGATACTCGTTTCATTCTACGCACGGGCATTTTGCCACGCCCCAAAAAAGTTGAGAGAAGTGGACGCACATAGCAAAATACTGGCACACTTGAGACGTCGACTTGTCGAGACATTCCGCAAGTCTTGCCCTATCAATTGCCCCGCGGCAGCATGATACAATCAGTGACGACTGGTGCTGCAGTCCAACCCCACCACCGCATGTGCCCCTTCATCAACGGAAAACCACAGCCTGCCCGTTTGCCAGGTCATAAAACACTGTGGGGGAGTCGATGCGCCGCAAAAACAAAGTTTTGTGTCATGGGACGAGTCAATCGAATGAAATCCTGGAGCCCAGAAAACACTCTAACTTATGGCGTAAAATAGAACGAAAAAAAGAAGGATCAACATCAACTGAAGAGAAGAGATGAGCCAGAATGCAGAAAAGAAGTAAAAATGCGTGGAACCCACGTCAACCTCCCGCCTTACCGTCTGAGGTATTACCCCTTTTTTTTTCTTTCTGCTGTGCAATTCCAGGGCTGGCTGATTTGTGCACTCGGACCTGATCTTACCATACTCTGCCATCTGAATACCATATCCCTCTTCATCACACTTAATCACCTTTATTTGCTTCGCGCGACACAGTCAGCCGACATTGACTACGCCAATGGCGCCGCAAAGGGCTTCGACGGCGAGCGAATGCCTACAACCCATTTCCACGAGACAATCCGTCGGCGGTACTACCAGTACACGACATCAGGCCATCAATATTCTGCCAAAGACACAGCCTTGCTTTTTCTGGATCACAGTATGCTCACAAGGTGCTACTCTAACTTTTTATTGATTTGGTGGCAAAACAGTAGTTAGCCACCACCCGCAAATTGTCTCGGCGATGCCAGCAGCTCCGCTACGCTCACATCTGTAGCGCAAGCTCTCCCTTTCTACAACTGGCCGGGGTACTTCAGCGATTGGGTGTTCACGCGCATAAGGTTTACTGGTGCAGCAAGACGCACGTACTGTAATAGGGCGTCCCGTCTTCTCACGGGCCTCATCTATTCATCCTCTTGTAGGAAAATGGTAGTGTTCAAAATCGGCCCCGATGCCGCGCAGAAATCAAGGTTCGCAGGCCGCCCCTGAGCTTCGGCTCTCCCTGTGAATCCCCCGTGCCAATCACATGGCTGTTCCTGGCCCCAAACTCCTTTTGGATTAGGGAGCCCCTTAACTACAACCATGGTGGGCTCCAAGCTTGTGCTAGACTTTTTCGTGCCAACCTTACTTGGTACTTGGCCGTGGACTGTCACGCCTTCCAGTCGACTCCGTACTCACTAGGTATTTGCGTACCGACAACTGTCGAGGCGTCTATCCGTACTGCCGCTGCGTATTGCAAGTTCACTTCAGGTCCACTGGGCTATCATTCGAGTCAATTCTTGATGCAGCCATTATCATATTACATGTTTCTCATTTCATGCTGGAGGTTCCAGGGCTAAACCCTGCCGTCCATCTCGCTGGGAGCCTTTGTCCACTGTTTCCGAGATGGTCCGAAGTGACAGTCATCAACATGAAACGCCGCCTTTGGTAAAACTGCGCCAACGAGACCGATGAAGGGCACCTGGGTTCGCCACACCTCCGAAGCAATGATGGGAAGGCTGCCATTGAATAGTCATGTTCAGCCAGAGTGTTACGCCTAAGAAGCAGTACTGACAGACACTCTAACCTTTGCCACAGTTAGCATCTACTTCCTTGCACATAAAGACAAAGGCGTTCAAGACGCGCTTGACGAGGGATCCGCTGTATGTGGTCTTGTACCGGGTCTGCTACAAATAACTGAGAATGCAAAAAGGCTCCTCTCATCTCGATCCGCAGTGTCACTATTTTAGCGCAGTTTGCCTCTGACGTTCACCTGCATATCCGCGCTTCGCAACATTTGCCAGTAATACGACACGAGCTGACGAGCCAAGAGCTCAGGCCATTGCTGTTTTTTTTAAAATGTTGGCTGATGTGATGCACTTTACATGCGGCTGAACCTTGCCATGGTCGTCGCCGTCATTGTGCAGCTCGTTGCTTCTTCTGTGCTTTCCTTGCACCTTGGCACACCACCTGTGAAAGCTGGGCTAAAAGTGGCCGCTGGCTGTTGCTGGTATTAATACGAACAAGTTAACACGCGAAATTATAGATCATCAACTTGCATAGACCTGGGCACGTGCTGGGGTCTCCTTGATGACTGCTCACCTGCTCTCTTGCTCTCGGAACTTAATCGATTTTTAGCTGACTCGTCAGGGAGGGGGTTAATTGTGCCAAAATCTCAACTATTTTTGGCGGGTCAGAAAGTGATCTTCAATAGGCTTGTGCGTGCGCGCGCTTCGGAGGGCTGTCTTGTTCAACAAAGTCTGTTCCACCCCATCTCCGGCCAGTCTTGTTCAGCTGGGACGAAGAAACAAACCAAGGATACTCGGTAGTTCTCGCAGCGATTGGCGTCTGGCCGATGCCGACAGGGCTGGACTCAGTCCCTCACAAGGATGATGCGCCGAGCAAAGGCTGGCGTTCCCTGGCGACGCTCTTAGCCGTTTCAAATCGGAGCAATGCGACTTCTCTCTAAAAAAGTTTGGGGACCAACAAGATTGGTCAATCAGTGGCCTATTCTTGCTCGAACCACTGTTACTACTGCGGGCATGAATACTCTAGGAAGAGGGGCTCCGAATGAGCGCAATGAAATGCATAATACGCCAAGGCAGCTTCTATGCTTGATTTTACTGTTATAAACATTGTTTCTTTGACCCATCCTGTCAAAGAATAAAACCAACAAAAGCGCCAAGCACGAAATGCAAGTCTGGATGCTCCGCAAAATTTCCTTGCTATTTGTTTGCTTATGCATGTTAATGCCTATACAAGTCATTGTATTTGTTTTTCTCTGGCAATGTATTTCTTCTACTTGACCAAGCAACAGTTTCAAAATCAATCCTGGGCATTCATCTCGTAATACCTCTCATTCCTTTGAAGAATACGGAGTTTGCCCGTTGCAATTTCCCTTCATTCCTACTGGCACACGCAACCACCGGCTTTACCCCGGCCCTTGCGCGTTGGCATGTCAGAGATATATGTCCATGATATCAAGGACACTTTCTGAAATTTCAATTAAAAGCCTAAGAATGTAGCTTTACAAGGAACTTTTCCTCAATGGACTGTTCTTTTTAGGAGGTCTTGGAGGTGCACTAAGAACTTTAACCTGGGGCATGAAGCATCGAGTTTCAGTAGCGTTCCATCGATGCCACTGCTGCGCTACTTGTAGATCGGCACCAACAGCGCAAGGCGGTTCATTCCAAATTCTCTCACAAAAAAGTCCCTGTGGTTGAATGAATTTGAAAAAAAGAACCTCGCCGCACTGAGACTACTAAAACGCATGAAAGACTCCGAGGTGTCCCATCATGTCATCATATATCAAGGAAAAAATGAGGAGCTGATGCTTGAGAGCCTCCAGAGACTTGATGCGAACTCAATTCAGTGGGGATGGTATGTATCAGATTAATCTAGTCTCAAATGGATTGAGGGGGTGCTCAGCATTGCGAAGAAGGGCTGTCAGCATAGTAAACCCAAAGATGCATAAACCTGCCCTGTGGATGCAACCCAGGCAATAGGACAAGTCCTTGACAGAGCATAAGATTATGGGCCACAAAGAAGACTGGTGGATGAATCTCGATTGGATAACTCGTGCATTGAACACTGGCCTCCGCCGCATGATGAACGGTACCGTAGCCCTTTACTCGCTTCTGGCCAAGCACGACGGCGAGAAACAGCAGTACCAAGGAACCTGGTGTTATTTTCTGATATCTAGGAAGGCAAGTACAACAAGTGATAGAAGTACGAGGACACAGAGAAGGTTTAGAGTGGGATCAGAGGTTTGCTGGTATCAAGTTTGCTTGAAGACATGCGAACGAGGTGGTCGCGGAGCTGCAGGGTACCCGGAGCAGCAAACTCGCCAGAAGAAAGGCCGCCATCTTATTGTTCATTGTGCAGAGGTAAAAGGCTTTTCTACTCGTAGAGTGCAAGATAGTTCGTCATCTGATCTTTACAATCAAGCGCTCTGCGGTTTCGTCGGAGTGACCCAGCAAGTATATCTCACAGCCGAGAAGTGTGTGCTCCATGAACAGGCTGTCTGCCGAGAAACCTCAATACTATCGGGGCTGTACTTGCGCCACTTGACGCTTGCTTCGTTAGTAGTCATTTTAAGCGGTACATGAAGCTATAGACAAACACTAGATCGGCGTCGCAGTCGCTGAAGCGGACCTCAGCACCATGATGAGCGCCAGTGCTTCTGTGGACTGGTAGATGCCTACATGGCTCTCGTGGCCGGGCGATGGGGGGTTGCGATACGGCATTCGCGTAGCAACAGTCACGGCCGTGGCATTCCTTGCTCATGGCCATATCGAAGAATGGATACTTTCAACGCTGTCGGTGACATGGCTTCAAAACGGGTTCTCGAGAGGATACATGTTATCAAGACGAGCGTAGCAACGGACTGATATCAATATTGAACCATGTAAGTATTGTCGTTTAAATACACTTGTTAAATAGACAAGAAGGAAAACCGTCGAGATACAATGGTGAGAGATCTATAATACATGCATTGGAACTGGCTCCTTTCTCTTCTGTATCTTTTTTGACATCCTGCATCGTCTATCCCAGCTCTACCAAGTTGACATCCGCCCTCTTACATCAAGTTGATGCCGACCCCCAACTGCAGCCCCTTGGTGCCGACCTCACCCCTGCGCAGCACCAGAGGCAGGCTGAAATTGAGCTCAAACCGCGCAACGGGATGCGCATACACGAGACCGACACCGGCGGCGGCGCTCGGGGCCCCATTCAGCAAGTCCCCGACGGCATTAATCATGCCGTCTCGGACAGCCGTGGCACTCAGGCCAGCTGCAGCTGCGCCGCCCTCGCCGCCTTGGGTTTTGCTCGCGCTCTTCAGAGCCACCAGCCGGCCACCGTTGGCAAAGACCTGGAAGCGCAGGCCAGACTCGGGGCCCTTGTAGGGTAAAGGCAGGAGCATGTTGACGCTGCCAGCAGCAAACAGGTCGCCGCCGACCGCGTCTTTGCCATCATGGGGTCCTAGACCGCCAAGCTGGAATCCTCGCACGTCGGCGGGGCCTCCGAGCTGGAAGCGGTCGTTGATACGGCTGGGCTGCGCCTTGCCATTTAGGTCCAAGCCCAAGGGCAGAGGCCACAGCATGCCCATGCGGAAACCGCCGCCGATGGAGATGCCAGACTTCTGTGATGAACCGGGCAGGGGAACGGGAATGGCGCCGCCGAGCTCGAGCTCGCTCTTTGAAAAAGCAACGTCGCCTCCAAGAGGTCCTACACCAGCGAGCTCAAACTTTGATCGAACCATGTAGCCCTCCTGTGGCAGTTGCGGGTTATCGCGGCGCTCTCTGTAAAATGTATGTCGGAGTGCGCTCTTGATCGAGTCGCCCGCGTCCTGCCGCACCGTCGCGCTCGCGCCCTGGCCGAGGCCCGTAACCTGCCGCCACAAACCTGAGTACTCGAGCGTATGGCTGTCCCTCTGCCTGTTGATCCAAGAGAGCTGGAGCGAGCCGCCCTTGAGGACCTCCTCGTGCGATGCCCACGGCTTCTCCGAGGCCGAGGCGAGAGCTTCGAGCGAGACGCGCACGTCGGGGTTGCTCAGCACCGGGGCGCCGAGGTTGGCGCTATAGGCGGAGCGCGTTCGCGTGCCGGACCGCGCGTTAAGCGTCAGCATCTCGGCGCCTCCAAATATGTTGCGCCACAGCAAGGAGCCGTACGCGGAGCCCTCGCCATTGCCAACATCAGTTCCCGTCTGCAGTTTGAAGCGGGGCAGCTCCTTGAGGGACAGAGAGACATTAACATCAGTCGGGTTCGAGGATGCATCTGTCGGGTCGGATTGCTGAAGGAAGACCTCCGGGGGCTCTCGCAGTATTTCTGTTCCTGTTTAGCTTGCGATTGTTCTTGGTTCGGTAGGCGTCCTGCGGCACTCACGGAGCGCACTCAGCTTCCCGCTGGTCTCCTTTAATTTTGCCAACACCTCTCCCACTGTAGAAGGGGCACCCGGCTGATCAGCCAGCAATGGCTGAACAATTGGATCGAGAAAAGGACGTCGAATGTTATTGCCGCCGAGGATGTTAACTTCGTTGACGGTCATAGGCATCGCCGTCTGGTCGAGCATCTGAGAGCATTGTGTCAATTCTCGTATCACTCGTTCAGATAAGATTGGGCACCCTACTAGTTGTGCAACTCTACGTTCTCTGGCCTCCTGGTTGGCATCACGAGATTCCGGTCGTGCTTTCGCATCTCGCAAGACATCCATGCCACCTTCGTGCAGTTTATCGAAGCCGCCGACAGACTGTAAACCATGGGGTGAGTTGCTGATCCTAATCAGAATAATATCAGAAGAAAACGTACGGAGCCGAAGCTGTTATTTCCGCTCGCCATTTTCGTCTGTTGAAAGATGGAATTGGCGCATGTGACGAAGAATTTCCCCAGGATATCTCGCGAAGCTGTCCAAGCTCTCAGAGGGTAAGGTGTGGCGCATCCACGTCAGTGTGGCTGAGTTATGAGACCAGCCACAAAAGGCTATTTGCCACGCTGACATGACGCCTTGCTCCAACTCCGTGGCCTTGGCTATCTACATCCTTCATCATCTCTGTCGCTCTAGATTGCAGTACGAAGGCGCGCGGAACCATCTGTATCCCTATTCTGTTCACATAGATATTTTGCTTCCCTGCGCAGCCTCTTCTGTTCTCGCGCGACCTTCCGACTCGCAATAACCGGCCCACTCCTATCACGCGACTTTCCTTTTGTTCGGCGCATCTCAACTCCACAAAGTAGCCATGGCGAGCAAGGCGGCTTTCAAGCGTGTATGTCTGGGACTGGATAGTTTCGGGTAGGATACTAACATCGAAATAGTTGACTCGCGAATACAAGACGATATCGGAGAACCCTCCCCCGTACATTACGGCGCACCCATCCGAATCCAATATTCTTGAGTACGTATTACTTTACCTTATCTTGTCATTTTCCGGTCGGAAACTGATAGACTATCGATCTCAGGTGGCACTATGTCATCACAGGCCCAGAAGACACACCGTATCACGGTGGCCAGTACTGGGGTACTTTAATATTCCCGCCCAACTACCCGTTCGCTCCGCCGGCCATCCGAATGCACACACCGTCTGGGCGATTCCAGCCGTCGACGCGACTCTGCCTATCGATATCCGACTTTCATCCCAAATCCTTTAACCCTGCCTGGGAGGTGTCGACAATCCTCATCGGCCTACTCTCCTTTATGACGAGCGATGAGATGACTACTGGTTCCGTCTCAACGAATGTCGTGGAGAAGAAGTTCCACGCCTCGCGATCACGATGGTGGAATTCGACGGGAGGCGGCTCGCTCGCCAAGAACCCGGCCAACAAGGGCAACGTCAAGGTGGGCGATGGCGGCGCCAAGTTCCGAGCGGAGTGGCCGCAGGTGGACGCGGAAAACTGGGAGTGGATGAAGAGCCATAAGGTTGATGCCATCACGGGAAATCGCGTTGGTGGCGATAGTGGCGCATCGTGCGGCCCTCAACTGGGCATTGCCGGGACGAGTGGTCATCAGGCGCAAGCCGTGGTCGATGCCGTGGTGCAACAAAGAGACGCCGGTCGGGGTTGGATATACCGTAACAAATTGGTCGTCGCGGGCACTGCCATATTCCTATACGTCCTTGTAGCAAGATTGATGAGCGGCGAAGGAGGCCTTGTTTAGATTTGAGGGTCTGGACGTTTGTCGTGACGGCAAGGACAGTTGTGATACATCGAACAGGGTAAAGATGACACAAGCATAGAACGCCGGCTGACAGGCGCGGTACGTCGGTAGCGAGCTCCATTTAGCCACGACTGTTACTTGATGCTCATAGAAGCGATAGCAGTAGTTGCGCAGCATTCTATAAGCGTTTGCTGCCAAACACTTTAATCAATAACTTTATATCTTGCATGTCCCAAATACGGGCTCAGACGGGCAGCGAGCGTCGAGCATCGACGTCTGTAGCGGGCTTGTTGGGCCGGCCACCAGCGGTTGGGTCGAGACTCAGATGGATGGGCTCGCTGTCCCTGTCTGGGGGCGGCGATAATGTCCGACGTCGCAGCGGCGCGGGATGGAAAGCGGGCTAGGCCGTGATGAGCAGCACCAAGGCGAGGCCAAGCTCAGCAGTGAGTGTAGATAGCCGAAGACGAGCAGCTATCTAATGTTGATACTCGGTACAAGTTATCAGTGAAAGCAGTGACGAGAGGGTGAGCACAGTTTACTCAGTAATAATAATATGATTTACCTCTTTGGCGCCCCATCGAATGGGATAGAAGTTCAGGAGTGGCTCAGGCTGGCCAGGCCCATCTCCGATTTGTAGGGACAATGGCCGGCCCCACAGCTTGCTGTGAGGGAGTCTGCCAAACAAGGCGGCAACGTGCGTGTGCGTGTCTGTCGACTGTTTACTGATGCAGTGACAAGGAGTTTGTTTCAAGGGCAATGTGTATCGGCAATTGTGTTATGATTTGCTCCTAATTACACGAATTTGTACGGGTAGACACGCATAGAAGCTCCTACCTAGACAGCAGTAGTGTAGAGATGCAAGGCGCCCAAAACTTTAGTCTCTGTTATTAGCTGTTGCTAGCCCGCCAAACAGTGCCTTCTCACTGGTCGCTGCCAATTGGAAACCCGCTGCCGCCGTTCGTTCGCCCGCCGCAGATTTCATCTCAAATCTCGCCCACCTTCTCTTTGTCAAGACAGCTCCTCTCACCTCTTGCAACCCAACAGCTGCGCTCCCTTTCCCATCTCAGGGCCGCTCCTCTGCAGCCCGCTTGCCCTTCTGCCCGCCATGGCTCCCGCCAACGGCTCGTCCAAGCCGCGCAAGGCTGCTCCTGCGGCCGCTGGTGATGCTCCTGTCGCGCCAGCTGCCGCCGCGACCACCAGCAAGCCCGCCCAGAAGAAGCCCGTGGTGCCCGCCCTGCCTCTGCCCTACGTCAAGCGCCAGGCAGCGGCTGCTTCTGCTTCTGCTTCTGCTTCTGCTTCTACTAATGCGAGCAAGCCGGAATCAAATGGTGACGAAACGAAACCGCAAGGAAAGCAGCACAAGCCCAAGACATCCAAGTCTCGCAAGGATGAGAACTGCAAAGCCGCTGCTGCGGAGCCAGCCTCGGAGACCCCAAACAACGTCACCAATGGCTCGGGTAAGACACTCAAGTTTTTCTCTGCCCTCACTGGATTCGAGCGTCTGGCGTGTTTTGCTCTGTTTCGACGCCAACTTTGCTAACACAGACTTTAGAGAGCGCCGCCCCGTCGCAAGCCCAGACCAACCCAGTCCTAGCCCCGAATCAGCAGTCGCACTCGCCCAGCACCGCATCGCCCAGCCGAGGCTCGACGGAAGCTGCAGCGACCGCCATAGAAATCAAGCAGGAAGAAAGCGGCGCAAGTGGCCACTCAAGCGCGCCTGTAGGCATTACTGAGCAGAGAAGCAGCAAGTCTGGTGAGTGGCATCGCCATGCCATCTCCGCCAACCGCTGCTCAGATTCTAACTCCGACGTGATAGCAGCCAACGCCACAAACAACAAAGGCCTTAAGCCTCGACCTCCTCCGGCCCTCTCGCCTACCAGATATCATATGCCTCCGCCTTTCCAGCCCGGCAATAGGATGCCCGGCATGCATGCCAACGACGACGGACATAGGGGTCCACGACCGCCTGCCCTCAACGGCCACGCTCATGTGCACCACCAGGCCCATCCCAGTAGTAGCAGCTTGCATTTCGGTGGCTTCCAGGAGTCTCAGAGCTCTAGCCCAGCACCTCCGCACTCGGGCGGTATCGCCCCCCCTCCGGGCATGCCCTTCCCAGGTGGTCGCCAGCCATTCGTGGGCCCGGGTGCTAACGGCTTCCCGCCCATGATGCCCTACGGCCCAGACATGATGCCGGTGTCGACTTTCGATAACTACGGAAGACCCCCGATGGCTTATGCCCCTCCCGAGTCCTACCACCCCTATCGCAACAATTACCACCCATCAGCCCCCCATAGCTTCCACGACTCTCATTCTTCCATGGAGGAATTCAACCAGCAGCAGTACGGTGGTAGAGGACCTATGCGCAATGGTGGCCCTCCCGCAGAAGAACAACAGATGCAAGGAAACCCTGGCCGAATGTTTGTCCCGCCCGACTTTCATCGTATGCTGCCCAATCCTGCTATTCCCCCTCAGATGATGCCCCCCAGCGATGATGCCGACCACCTGGCAGCATACGCTCAGCAGCAGTTCGGCAATCTAGCGCTATCTGACTGCTGCCTTGAGCTCCGCTACCTCGATGATCGAGCACCACCTGTTCGCATTGCTGGCCATAGGTTCATGCTCAACCGATCTGCTGCCTTGGCTGCTCTTATGCGCCAACAGATACTTTCGCCAAGCCCACCAGACCGCTCTCAGCAAACCGTGCTGATCGAGACTAACAGCAAGTGGATTCGTTCTGACTCGTTCTACATGGCAGCTCAGCGCCTTTATGGTATGCCGCTCTTGCAGTATCCCGGCCCTCGCAATCACCAGCTCGACCCTGGTGAGTTGACTGATGCCGGTTCAAATGTCGAGCAGCTCGATTTCGCACTCTCCTATGCAGCAGCCGGTCATTTGATTGGCTGGGCGCCTGTCACTAAGCGTGGCTGCGAGGTAGCTACCCAGCTTATCGACTGGCAGACGGTCGAAAGAGTTTTGGAGTTCGCACTCGATGGCCACTGCGATGTGGGCACTCACGATACGTTCAGATATGGAGAAGGTTCTAAGATTATTCTCGACGCTGTGGTCACTTTCATTGTCCACAACTTCCCCTCCACTTTTGAGCTGGACACTGAAGTCATCACTCCCGTTCAGTATGCGAGACTGCCCATTCATCCCCCTCCACCAAGCCGGCCCACAGAGGCGAGCGCGGCCTCGCTCGCCGACGAGAAGCCAGTGGTACAGCTCGGCAAGGGACGACGCTCGCAAAAGCTTACTAATATTCAGTTCGGTGACTTGACCCTTACTGAGAGCAACCCTGCCTCTGCGACTGAAACACCAAAAGCAACACGCCCAGCACAACCCGTCTCTCACGCAGTCCTGTCTCGAATCCTACTCAATATTCCATTTACGCAACTCAAGATGATCCTGGAATCGTCCGGCTCGGGCAATGTTAATGGCTGGGCCAATGCCGAATCGCGATACCGAATTGTCAAGTCTGCAGTGGACGAGCGCGAGGCGCGTCGTGTCAAAGCAGTGGAAGCTGTTTCTGACGGCCGTGTTCCAGGGGCCAGAGAGCTGCGCGCCAGCCTGAGAGCTCCTGAGCCTCGCGACATGCCGCAATGGGGCGCACTCGGCTGGCACGAAGAGATGCTGCCTTACGGAAACCCAGACGGCCCTTCTCTGGGACGCAAGTGGGCTCCTCTGTCAGCACCGCAAGGCGGACCTGTTGCTGACTATCCTTGATTGTATTCAGAGGGGAATCAAGTATGGACATGACGATATGATGATCCGCACATGCTGCAAAAGACAATGCAGCACATGAAAATTGCATTTGCGACTGGCCCCCTTTGGAAAAGAAAAGAAGGACAAAAGTTTTAGCATGCTTTCAGCAACACTTGGGTTTTGGTTTGATTATTGCATTTGCGAAGGGCTCTCTCTGACAGGATTCTGGAAGACTGGCCAACAGGAACAAAAAAGCGCCTCCGATTACCTGGCCGCCAACACTGATCAGCATCCCGGAGTAACTACCGTTTTGCTTATGGACGGGTATAATTGATACGACGAGGGTCGTTGACGAAGCTAGCCGAGTAAATCTACGGCGGGCTTGGAAGTGTCAGCTCGATATTCGTTGGCTGGAACAGACGCCAAAGGTAACAGGGGGATACGAGCATGGCGCCTGGGGATGGTTGTAGGGTGAGGGGTAGGGTTCTATTGGAGGGGTTTATTATATCACAATGAGACCAGTATAGGTTCCCGATGAGGAGCTGGTTTTCTTTTTTTCTTTTTAGGTATGTTTTGTTTTGCGATTAATTGCGAGGATTGGGACTAGTAGCCGAGAAGCAACGAATGGACCTGCATGTAATTACGCCGAAATATCTTTTGGGCTGGAAATGGACGACAAGTTCACCTGCCTGACATTATCTGTATGAATCGAATTCTTTGGTAAAGTTGGTGATTGCTTGTCCTCTTATGCGACTGGTTGCTTATCTCATGGCGATAAAACCTATGCACAGTGCCAGTAGTCAGCCAGTTACAAACCACTGCTTTGGGTGGCACAGCGGCTCGGTGCGTGACGGCCCGTCATATCGCACCCCAAGTGTTTGCAAACCACAAACTACTCAGATTGAGAATCACCACCTTTTCTCCCCAAAAGCCTGACCTTTGATGCCGCTGTCGTTTTTCACCTTCCTTCATTCCGGCGCGCGCCGTGGCCGACTTTGTCAATAAGCTAAACAACTAACAAAGCAGTTGCCCGTGAGAGATTTGCGCAGTGCTGACCGTTTGCGCCCAACTAGCACCAAAGAATACATGATGGCGTCACCGAGACTCGACAAACTGCCCGATGAGCTCATCGTCGAGCTCGCTCGGCATCTGTGGCTCGGCGACATGAGCCATCTGGCGCGATTCAACCGCTGGCTATACCAGATCCTCGATCCAATTTTGTACATGATGGACGCGAAGCCGTACAACCAGTACGCGCTGTTCTGGGCCGCGGAGCACAACCTGCTCACAGTGGCTGAGCGTGCGCTGCGTGCAGGCACGCCGGTCCAGCCGCACAACGATGTTCCTTCCCCTTTGCGTCCGTTTGGTCGAATTCTTACAGGACAAGAGCTCAAGGCAGCTACGAAGTCCTCGAATTTCTCACGCCGCACTACACCGCTCGACATCGTCGCAGAGGCAGGACACTGCGCAATCGCGGCTCTGCTGCTGCGAGACCCGAGGCTGATTAGATCTTTTGATGTAGAGCTAGCCATTCACTCAGCAGCAGTGAACGACCGAGCAGAAATGGTAGATATGCTTCTATGGCATGTGGAGCAGGTTCACAAGGAATGCATGTCGCATATGATCGGTTGCGCGTTTATCGGAGCAGGACTGCACCAAAGTGTAGCCGTATTGAAACTGCTAGTAGAAAACGGAGCGCGTCTTGCGGTTATATCGAGAGAGAGTTACTCCCTATACCAGATGAATTATGCGGGGACCGGTCACGATGAACTCTGGGATCTTTTCTCGTCTATTCGACCGCTAGAGCTGGTGCCGGATCATCGCATACAAAGACAAGATCTACGGTCCAACCTTACCGCGAGAGTCACCGGAAAGGGGTCTAGAGGCATCGTTGAACTCGTCGAGACATTCACCAGACTTGGTTTTGATTGTAAGTGCAAGGGAGAGCTTGCATGGATGCTAAGGATGGCCCTCCGGAGAGACAACGTTCCCCTCATGGAGCTCTTACTCAGCTACTCGTCTGATGAGCAAAATGAACTGGAGAAGTTAGTTGCAGTTATATATTTGCGGTTTCGTCTGGGTCCTAAGGTTTGCGGGCGGCTGCTAGCTCGTGGATGTCGGCCTGGCGTCTGGGACCGGGCTTTTGCGGGGGCTCTAAAAGAACGAGACATCAAGGAAGCTCGGGTGTTGCTCTCCATGGTGGACGGTATTCCTGCGTCTATACGTTATCGCGGAGGAGAGATGCTAGAAGCTGCCTGCTCCATGAATTTTCTTGAACTTGCTCAACTTGTGCCGTCGTCTCGTTCAACGGCAGAGAGACGGAAGCTCGTACAAGATGCAGGGCCGAAGCTCACCAGAAAAAGAAGCCTTTTAATATCATTGATGAATCCTAGACCCGAAGGGCAAGAAATATGTCTCGAAACCGCACGATTGGTGCTTGAAGCCGGAGCTGATCCGAATTCAAAGACATCTTGGTCCGAGTCGCCGCTCAAAACGGCATGCGAAAAAGGCATGCCGAGGCTTGCTCGGCTGTTGCTGAAATATGGCGCGAATCCCCTACAGGCAACACCAAACGGGCTTACGATTCTCCATATTGCGTGCAGATATTGCCCCAATCTTGCTTTCATAGAAGAATTGCTTAAGCGTGGCGCAGACGTTATGGCCAGATGCGGCCTTGGGTCTACGCCGCTTCATCAATTGTGCTACGCGAGTTCGAAAGAGAAGGAAATGGGCCCAATGGCCAGATATCAAGTTGCCAGATTGTTGATTTCCAAGGGCGCCGATCCGAACGCAATTGATGAGCTTGGCACCACACCCCTTCATTTTGCCTGCAGCAACGGATCATTATCTAGAATGGGCCCCGAAGATGCCAAAGTTGTCGTTGTTTTGTTGGAGCACGGCGTCGATATTGAGCAGCTGAACGGTTCAGATGAGAGACCTCTGTTCGTTGCTCGCTCGAGTTTGAATCACTCTGTTGCTTCTATTTTGCTGGAGAAAGGAGCTGACCGGTCCCGAGAAACGTTGCGCGGTTTCGGGAAGCGGTATCTTGGATTTGATTTGAATGCCAGCCTCGATGCGTACGCGCACGAGATGGTGAAGCTATTACTTTTCCACGGGGTCGACCGAGTGTTTGTCATGGAGGAGATGATGGACTTTGGCTACTCGGGGCGCCTCTACGAGACATTTCGGCTGCTGCTGATGCACGGAGTAGACGTTGAGATAGACAAGCTACCATTTCGAAATAAAAAGAGGCCCTCGCGCACGAAAAAGTTGGCAGAGGCACTGGCATGGGATACTCGGACGTAAGATGAGTTAGACCGTAAGAACGGTAGCGGAACATGTAGTGGAAGCTATATATACTGACCTTGGGAGCACGCTATCAAAAGATGTGTTCTTGATACCCATATCCAAGGCCCATAGCTGGGCTATAACATTATATTGCTATAATATTTAGTGAAGCGGATGATTTTGGACACCAGTCGTTGTTGTGACATTGATACATGGTTACATGACTGTCCAGAGACGCGCGAGCGGGTACCTACGTGGATGCA